TACAAAACCAGGCTCTCACTGGATTGAAAACAATACTGAGCTTTCTCATTTGCTCCAAGCTTTATCTATTCTTCTTCTCAAGCATTGACACCCTCAGCTCACGATCTCATGATTTTCTCATTTGGCCCCCTTGAGCCAAACTGATTGTTTTCCTCGAGTTGGTATCACTTACTTGATTTGTTAATGCATACATTATAATTAGTGATCGAAACCATCTGTCCGGATTGTCGCACATTATTTAGGTTAAATAGTTGTCCTCATTACAAAGTAAGAGAATTTACCAACAATGAGAAAGTGGACCCTTATGGACCATGCATTGTTTGGGACTGACAGATTTAACAGTGTATTTGTTTTTTCATCACAGGCAATCCGTGAAAGTCTCAACAAGGCCCAGCATGACCTGGCTGCAGCTTCGTCCGAGGTGGCCAAGGCTGAGGCACAGATCGCTCTGGAGTGCCTGGAAGCTTTACAGAAATCTCTGGACTAGAGCTTCCATTTCTCATCTTTAGTTGTATGGTTGCGACACACACTTGGCTGACAGTCATGGCTGTGTCATTTTAAGCCTTGGGATAACATGAGGTCATAGGTGATTCAATAGTAACAGCAGTATAATTAGAATGTCTTTGCACTGAGACCCACAAGACATAGAAATAAAGGCAGACCACCCACACACAAAAAACACATGAAGAAGGGAATTTAAAAAGTGAAGTTAAAAAAAGATTAGGAAGACATGGGAAAAGAATAGAACAATATGGCGTGAGTTGGTTGAGAGCCTGTGCTACATCGCATAATAAAGAGCAGAGGAAGAAGAGAGCTAGGAACTTAAATCATAACGCATGTTTATACAAAAGCATGTACAGAGGAATGAAACATTTGAGGATGAAAAGCTGAAGGCAAAAGTGTAGTCATGCAGAGAACACTGCCATAGTAGAACCAGCTGGTGAGCTTGTAACCTGTATGTAAGTGACTAGTCTTTTTTTTTTTTTTTTTTGAGGAACTGTGGAGAATAAGAAGCAACAACAAATCCTAATATAGCCCACATCTTTACGTGGTGTCATGTCACATGTAACAATTACAGAAGTGACAAGACAGAGAAGATACTGACTGATATTCAGACATGGAACCTGATATGGCCAGATTAAAGTTGTGTTGGGGAGAGGTGTCAACGAGGGATAGATCTTGTGATGTTTACCTAGACGATGTCAGCCAAGCGTGGATGAGCCTGTGTATGTTTGTAGACGATGTTACTGTAAACAACATATAGTGGCAGTTGAATAGCCATTACATAATGGTGGTTCTTGCCTTTGAAATGATTAAAATATTGTTTGAAAGGATTGTCACTATTTTGTGTCAGTCTTTTGTGATGAAAGGGTGTGTTGTAGTTAAAGTTCCTTCAGGTCTTTATCTTATATGCATGTGCTGCGCACACCACCTCAGCCTCTTCTATCTACTTTGGGGTGTAAAAAATAAAGTAGTGACAACTTCCTAAATTAAAATGCTTTATTGTCAAAAGTTGCAGAGAGAAAAAAACATCACAAAATATATTTAATAAAGATTGTCTTATTCCCTGCAGATATAGGAAAAACCGGTCCATCTTAATTCCCTGGAGACAGAAAAATTATCCTTGTTTTTCCCCTGCAGACACAGAAAACTAGTCCTCATTTTCTCCTGCAGATGTAGAAAACTATGAGCTTATCTCTTTCATTTCCCAGCTGGCCAGGTTTTTCACAATGCTACGAAATTTTGTAAATAAACTCCATATGAATGATGGAAAGATAAATTTTGATCATAAACAAGAAAAGTACAATACAAAAATCATTGGATATAAAAATTAATATTAAAACAATGTTAGCAATCATTGCTACAGGATGACCAGAGTATCTGGAATAAAATTTATACTCAAGAGCGACGCTGGCTGGATATTTTATATTCAATAAGATTGCATTAATTATTTTGAAAAAAAAACTTGTTATGCGACCAGCTGCTTTATACATGGTTGAAATATATGCAAGTAGCTTTAATCTTTTCACCATGTTTATGTTACGACAACCCACACACACACACACACACAAAAACTAAGGGAACTTTTACCCCTTTCGCCATCATGCTATCTTAAGTATTTAATCTTTTAATAAAATTGTGTCAATTGATTATTAAATATTTCACCACCACAGAGGACTAGAATGCACTTATATTACCACATAGGAGGTTAACTGTGTACCATTCTGCAGTTTAAAAAAAACAAAACAGACTCACCACTTCTTAGCTCTTTCAGTCCCAGATGGTTTGAAAGTAGAAATAACCACAGTGGAAAAGGCATCAATGTATGACCTTGAATGGTGCAGCATTTAAAATATTTGGCCAGATTTATTTAGCATACCCAGACCAAACTTGAAATAAATAACACAGCATATGTTGAGCATGCATGATGCTGTCATTGGGACAGAAAGAGTTAGCAAAATGTTGCAGAGGACAACTAATTAATGATTCATTGAAATCAGATGTGCTGGGTCAAAAGACATAGATATCAAAGCCTAGCTTTAAACCACAACTACTATTTTAGGGGCAGGAGGAGGAAGTGCCAAAGAATAAGACTAAACTAGCATGACAGAATTAGTAATGTGCAACTTATGGTGAGAAAACGTCCTGGCAAATCAAAAGGTGAGGATAGAACAAGAAAACATGTCTCTTTGTAGGAACTCACTGAAAAACAATGGAGGAAGACTTGAAAATATCTGCAGAAGATTATCTGAGAAATGAAAAATATGCAGAGCACATGGAGGGAGTGGTACAGAAAAGCTACACAAACAAAACCTTTAGACTGGGACCAACTCCACAGTTGGGGAAAAAAATTTATACTAGGGTCGATCCCCATAAGAAGAAAACCTTTACACTAGGACTGAGACCTCACTTGGGGAGAAAACTTTTAAACTAGGGTCAACCCTCACAGGTGGGAAGAAAACCCTCAGGCTTGGACTGAATCAAAATAAGCCTGTATGTTAGCATATATCCCGTTAAGGCACGCTGGCTTATACAACAGCAAACATTTGTAAATAGTATATTTTATTAGAAAATACAATGTTCTTTCTCTCTTTTGTCAATATCTGCTTATGCCACTAGACGTCGCAGTTCATCAGACGATTAGCAGCCGAGCCAGGGCGTGCTCAGCCGCTCGATATGCTGTGATGTTTTGCAATCTCAAGGTGTCAGAAACTCCTTCAATCCATCTTCTTCTCAGTTTTCCCCTACCTCTTGGTGTTTCGATTTTCAGGTTGCTGCTGGCATCGTTGGTTTCATTCTCATTAGATGGCCAAACCATTTCATTCTTTGTTTCTCAATAAATTTGCAGATGAGTGTTGTTCCAACGTTTTTCACTTGATCTCTTTTTTTTAATTTTTTTTTTTTTATTCACAGCCATTCTCAAACATCTCATCTCACAGGTGGTTAGTTTTCTTTCGTGTTCTTTTGTCTATTTTTGGATAGCAGGTTGTTTTAAAATTGGAGCAAGTTGGTTTGTGACATTGTTGGCTTCTCGTTTCTTCTCTCTGTCTATTTTACCACTATGTGTAAAGATGCCTCCCAAGTATTAAAATTTTTGCTCTTGTTTCAGACTTTGATCTTTATGTCGATGGGTTGTTGCTCTTTACTTATTCTCATGATTTCTGTTTTTTAAATATTGATCTTCATGCGATGTTTAAGGCAACTGTCGTGTAGTTGGTTTAATACAATATTCATGTTGTATAAATATGTCCAATGGACAGAATCAACAGCAGTCATTTCATCAAGAGTACTATACAGGAAGCCAAAGAAAAAGAATAAACCCATTCAGAACCTGTATCCCCAGCCACAACACTCTGTATGATTAACTTCTTCTTTCGTTCTCTTTAAATAAATTATCTATATCTGCAATATTGTCTCTAGTATGAACTTCACTGTATTTTGTAATTCACTCAGCGACCCGTAAAGTTTGACTTGCACCGATGTTTCTCTCGGCCAAAAGTTTTGCCTTGATATGTTGTATTGATCTATTGTCTCAGCTGCCAATCCACTTATGCACACCTGGGATTTACTGGAAGGGAATCCAAGCATTTATAGACTCAATGGTTCAATCTACAATAACGATGAACTGTCAACTAAAAATATTTCATAAATACACAGAAATAAATGGGTGGGGAAATAAATCCTGTCTCTACGTCCGCATCTATGAGTGGCAGTCAGTACATTAAAATATGTTTAGCAACCAGAAGAACCTAAGAACAATATAACTGGAATGTCTTTGCACTGGAACCCACAGGGTCATAAAAATAAAGGCAGACCAAAACACACATGAAAAAGGAAGCTAGAGAGTGAAAGTAGAAAAATATATAGGGTGAGCTGCATGTTATAGCAAAGGGTTAAAGTGAAGAAGAAGAAACCCATGATAACAAGAAACTAGAGCTAAAGGTCTAGATGAAACGAATCAAATGGTCTGTCTCCATGTGGGTTCTGGGCCCCTATTAGGGGGGTGGAGGGGGGGGGGATAGGTCCACCGTTCCCCCAAACAAACATGTTATACAAGGCAACTAATTAGGGGTGTTTTTTTTTTCAAAGTCGGACTGCATCTGCCTGACGGGCGAGCATTCAAACTCAAGTTCTAAAACAAGACTATAAGTCTAGAAGTAGACAAAACAACCAGAACTTACAGCTGGGGAAGGGGGGGGGGGGGGGGGGGGAACACTTAAAATTAGAAGAAATGGCTTGGTTATATGGTCATGATTACCATAAAGTAGGGCACTACAGAAAGTCCTGTCATTTAGACAACGGAAGCAGATCTAGAGGTCATGAGGGATAGATCAAATATCTAAGGCTGTGTTTCCCAGCATCTATGCAGCTGCTCACACCAAAGCTTGTACCAGATGCCTCTTCAAAATCTGACACTGAAAGGCAGAACATAGAAAAAAAAAGAAGCAGTCAGTTCCGCCTGTCTGGTTATGGGACTAAAAGATGACCCACACACACACCTATTTTTCACAGTACTGATGTTGTCCCCTATGCTCCCACTGGAACCTCCACAGTGCGTGGTTTGTATGTTCAGTGACATATACGGTGTTGGTACCCGGCTCAAAGTGCAGGTTGCTAGGTTTGTCAAACGGACACTTGATGCGTTTAACCGGGTCACCACCTGTGGGACCGAACACTTCGATGTAGCTGCTGCCCCAGTGAGCCACAAGCAGGTTTCCGTTCTCGTCAAAGTCCATTCCATCCGGGCCAGACTCACAGGAACAGTCTGCAGATTATCAACACTGGCATTTATTTGACAGACAATACTGTAGCAGCCTACAGGTGACATACAGAAGACATGATAAGAGATCAAAGCTATAAATGACAGGATATCTGCCTCCTTTAGCCATATTTTACAGGCTGTCTGCTCTAGCTATAAATGAGGGGATATCTGCCTCTAGCTATAAATGATGGTATATCTGCCCTAGCTATAAAAGATGGTATGTCTGCGCTATCTATAAATGATGGAATGTCTGCCCTAGCTATAAATGATGGTATGTCTGCCCTAGCTATAAATGATGGAATGTCTGCCCTAGCTATAAATGATGGAATGTCTGCCCTAGCTATAAATGATGGTATGTCTGCCTCTAGCTATAAATGAGATGCTTCCCACTACCTGTAAATGACAGGATATCTACTTCTAGCTATACATGATGGGATGTTTGCCATAGCTATAAATAATAGGATGCCTGCCCTAGCTACATATGAAGGGAGATCTGCCTGTAGTATTAATGATGTGATGACTTTCCTTATCTATAAATAACAGAATATCTACCCCTAGCTATAAATAATGTCTACCCTAGCTTTAAATGATGAGATGCCCGCCCTAGCTATAAATGATGTCATGCCTGCTCTAGCTATAAATTATGAGATGCCTGCCCTAGCTATAAATGATGAGATGCCTGCTCTAGCTATAAATTATGAGATACCTGCCCTAGCTATAAATGATGAGATGCCTGCCCTAGGCTATAAATAATGAGATGACTTTCCTTATCTATTAATAATAGGATATCCATCCCTAGGGATGTCTGCCCCTAGCTTTAAAATATGAGATGACCTTCCTTAGCTATAAACAATGGGATAGCCTTCCTTAGCTATAAATGACATGAAATATGTTCTTAGCTATTGTTGAAAGGTTGTGTATCCAAAGCTATAAATGACAGGATAACCATCCTTAACTATTAACAACAGGATGATTTTCACTAGCTGTCATCATTGTCATCATTTTTTGTGATGTTACATGACACATAAGGCTTGCAATTTATGCTTCTATCCACTTCTATCCTAAGCAAATGATTAAATAATGTAGATAGAATCCAGAACAGCAACTTCGGCCTCTCTCATCAATGTGCATCTTGGGATTTCTTTTGGACGTCCATGTTTCCTCAGTCCATTTGTTTCCTATTTCAATGCCTGTCTGGTGATTCCCTGTAAACTTCTTCTCAGAACATGCTATCTTATGTATCTTATAACTGTTGATACAAGCGGTTGTCCTGACACATCCATTATTTTTTCAATTTTATTGAATTAATCTCTTTTAATGGTCATTAATGTCTTCATTTTTCTTGAATTAATCCGATCCCATTTAATAGTCATTAATTTCTGTACTTTTCTTGAATTAATCCCATTTACTTACTTACTCAAGATGCTCCTCTTCTACCTTGTTGTCTTCTTCTTCTGCCTTTCTATCCCATTTACTTACTTACTCAAGACGCTCCTCTTCTACCTTGTTGTGCAGAGGTTTAATCCCATTTAATGGTAATCAATGTCTTCACCTTTCTTGAATTAATCACATTTAATGGTAATCAATGTCTTCACCTTTCTTGAATTAATCACATTTAATGGTAATCAATGTCTTCACCTTTCTTGAATTAATCACATTTAATGGTAATCAATGTCTTCACCTTTCTTGAATTAATCACATTTAATGGTAATCAATGTCTTCACCTTTCTTGAATTAATCACATTTAATGGTAATCAATGTCTTCACCTTTCTTGAATTAATCACATTTAATGGTTATCAGTTTTCTTGAACATTTGTTTTTGAATGCATTTAACTCTCTTTCTATATCTTTAGTGGTTCTCAAACTGTCGACAGTGGATCGCATATGTTAAAACTGATTACAGTTTAGACCGCTTAAGGTGATCTTGGGTGTGGCGAATTTCTGTTAAGAAGAACAATTTGTTTATCCCCTGCAATTTTTCTGGATAAGCTTGAGAAAGAAGCAGAGTCCTTGGAAGAGTTTCTCCTTAGCAGGTCTGCACTGTATTTGACTAAAACTTTATTATAATTTAAAAATAAAAAAAACATAAAAAGGAATTTTATTCTAAAGCTGAGTGTGTTTTTGTAAATAATTTCAGACTCCTCAAATCTGTTCTGTGACCCACCAAATGGGAAATACTAGTCCAGACATGTTAGTAGAAAATCATCTACGACCTCCATTTGAAGTCGGACAGCATCTGCCTGAGAGGTGAGGAACCAACAGTCTGCATACAAATAAGTCAGATCTGTATCATATCTTGAAACAAGACTTAAGTTCAGAAAGTGAAGGAACAACCAGAATTCTCCATCAGAGTTTATAGTCGGTAAAGAGTAAGAAGTTAAGATCTCAGACCTTACCTGGCAGTTTCCCCCAGACAGATTTGTTGGTGACCACACCTGGCCCTTTGATGTCATACGACCACAGAAGTCTGGTTGGAGTCTCAGCTACAATCAGTTTGCTGGGCCGCAGGTTCTCATCATGGATGACAGAGATACCATTTGGGAATCTGAATCCAGAGTCCAGATGAATGACCCTCTTGTTGGATGTGAGGCAGTACACAGAACCAAGAGGTTCCTGTAGAACAACATCACATGTACAACTGTAACATAACATGTACAAGTTGAAACATCATATGTACATTCTGTAACATCATTTGTACAAATTTTAACAAAATCTTTCTAGCCACAACATTCACTTGCTGCTTGTGAATGTGATAATATAAAGTTGAACTAGTTTTACTTTTCACTTGGTCTGATACTGTTTCCTATGCACAAAAGCAGTGTTCTTTCAGTGATGGATATCACTTGTGATGTACAACAATGAAAGAGTGGGAATCATGTGCTGCCAAATTCACACTGGCTGGCAGAACAGTGTCTTCACTAAGGTAATGATGTACTTCTGTCACAAACATCATGGCATGAGCATGTACCCCACACTTGAACAGTTTTACTCATTTAAATGGGTCACTGAAGGACATTTGATGTCATTTTTACCGGCACAGAAATGATGAAGCTGCTACAGGGTAATCCGTATGCAAAGATGTAGGTGGAATCCTGACTAACTAATTAGTAAAGAGGCCTATGCATGAAGATAACACATCACTACCATCAGAAGCAAACAAACAATGAGAAAAGAAAAACTGCAACAAAGTGGCAATTGCAAATATTAACGAAGCAAAGACAGGGGATAACAACAAGAGAATATCTGTGACAGCCTTCCACCAAGACGCACAAAATTATACAATTAACTGAAGCCGTCTGCTGGAGATCACTCACAGATCACAGATAGTTAGCTTCCTTGGGATACTGTCTCCACAGTATTCACGTGTGCCGAGAAATGAACAGACAGACTGGCTGGTGCTGTACCATTTGGTGGTAAACTGATGCATGACAAGCTGGATGAGGTCAAGGCCCTCTGGGAGAAAGTGAACAATGCAGAAGCACAAATAAATCATCACGGTCTGAAAAAAATGGTGCAGTAGGAAAAGACCAAGGAACCTGGCCGATGCTCAACTCTCAAAGGAAGGGTGAGACTAATATGCAAGCAGACTGCTACTGGTACTTTCAGAACTCTGTGCTGGCTTCTGAAGATGGGGACGGAGCACTTAAGGGAATGTTCCAAGTGCTGTGACGTCAGGTTTTTAGCTCAACTGAAAATCACCTGATATGGATAAGCAAGATCACCCATGCCAGTTGGTAAGACACCTGATGATAATGATGATATACGCTACAGACAACCTGCACAAGATTACGAAATAGTTTCATTTCCCTATCAAAAGAGGACTGGTTCTACTAAACATTCTCCAGCAGCTCAGTACTGAACACTCTTTGAGAATCTTCTTCTTCTTCTTCACGTTCATCAGCTGTAAACTCCAGCAAAAGGTTCTGATTGTTCATCCACCTCTGGATTTAGACGTTCCAGAACTCGAGTGTTGCATGCACACCTACTTTACAGATCTGAATTATTTGTATGCAGACTGTTGGTTCCTTCCCTCTCAGGCATATGCAATCTGACTTCGAAGGAAACTCTTAAATGGGGCCCCGGAACCCACACAGGGTCTTTGAGAATATCCAGCTGACTGACCTCATCATGAAAAACATGTCATTTATTTGAAGTATAATTGTACTGTGAGTAAGAGAAGAGGATACCTCAAAAAATCGTTGGTAGGGACTTGGGGCGATGCTGCCAGCTGGAGCAGTAACCCAGAGATTTCCTTCATAGTCCATAATGCAGTCATTGCAGCCCTGCATGGTTCTACCTCCATCGTCTACCTTGGTTAACTGTCAAAACACAGTCACAGAATATAAGCCAAATTTGGGAAACAGAAAACATTTGGAAGGGCAATTTTAAAAGAAACATAATCACACACAAAAAGCATACTCTGGTGACAAGACCTCATCAGCATACAAAAATACAAAACAAAGGCAGAAGTTTCTCTCAAAGGTTTCTCTCAAAAAACATTTATCTTATGGTTTCTCTTGGACATTCTCATCTCCCAGGTCAACAAGGTAAAGGCACCCATCAAGGGCCAACTGATCTAACAACTATATGGTCAACATCATATTCCTAATATTCCCAATGTTTTCTGTGATTTTAGATCACAGGTGAGATGGAAAGTTAAGACTGTTGTGTTGTGTATAAGGAGATACCTTACCTCACCTCGGCAGGTTCTGTTCTGGTTTTATGGATCCTCATGCAAAACTCCTGAGACACGTCCTTATTGTGCTCTATGGATTATGGCCTACATGAGCCTAAAACAAGCTGGCAGGGAAGTCTCAGAGTTGAAGGCCCCTAGAGATACAGTGTCCCAAAAAAAAAAAGGGTCCAGAAATTCCCTGGCATGGCAGCCCACCCCGTGTGCATGACGAAGATGGGCGTGAAGTCTGCTGGCCAAGCACCTTTCTAAATGACAAATCTGAGGTTGAAATGCCTTTCATCTGAAAGTCCGACTATATGACAAACCTTGGTTCAAATGTCAGTCAATCAAGACTCTTACTGTATGGCTGCTTAGGTTCAGTGGTGTGTCCATCGAGTGTCATAATAAATAACAACAAAGGTTCAGATGTCAATCGCTAAAAGATCCCTTGAGTATTGACTAAGCTGCCCATGGCTATGCTGTATGGGTCTGATGTGAATAAGGGATGACGAAGATACCACACACATGAGGCTACACATGTCCCAGGAAAATAACAGGGAAAGCTAGCCCTGATAAAGAATGCCCAAAGAAGTCAGCCAAAGCATAAATATCACAGCTATGCTGAAAACAGGTATAATTCATTTATAGCTCTCATAAAGCTTACTGATATAAGTCTTTTGACACGTATCGAAGAAGATGAAGAAGAAAACTCAGATGAATGATGAAGAAGAAGTATTCAAAATACATCTCATATCATGAAAAGAGGTCTTTATCTGACTTACCTGGGTGAACTCTCCGTTGGGTTTCACATGTAGAATTCCAAGTCTCATGTCAGCTACATACAGATTACCTTCCCTGTCAGCCTGGCAACCTGCAGGAATACCGCCATGCCCGTCAACATTTGGTGCACAAACAAGCTCAGCCTGTACAAGACAAGCATGTTATTAGTGAACCCTGTAATATTCACACAGCATCAAAGGTAAGCTTTTTTTTTTCTCTTCTTCCTTCTTGATCTTAGGCTCCTGGTCAACTCATGCGGAACCCTTCAGGATTTTTCACTTTGAGACATAAATTTGATGCCAAGACAACAAGAACAGCCTGGCTTTGTGTTCAAGTTTTATAGAGGTTGACAGGAATTTTAAAAAAAAAACATTTTCCCCTTCTAGGACTGCACCGCGAAAGATTAAAACACAATGACTCAAAGAGACAATGTCTGGATGTCAAGCCAACAGATCAAATCCCAGTTCAATTGTATAACTGTCTGTTACAAAGTAACCAATTGTCCAAAACTATGGAATAAAAAAAAAAGCTTCAGCCCTCTGAGGCCCCTGCTCCAATAATCTTAAACAGTACAGCTTCAAACGCTTTAAGCCTGGTTTCTTCTTCTTAAAGTCCATTCCGTGGCATTGGTAGACAGGTCTATCCACAGCCTTTTGTCTCGTGTACTTGCAAGCAACTCTGATACAGGTGATCTTTCATGCCATGATGTCAAACAGTCCAGCATCTTCTCTCTCGCTCTTCCCCTGCCACTCTTCCCCTCCAACTTTCTTACTGTCACAATGTACTCCAGTTTTCTTCTCCTCATCACATGAACAAAGAATGTAGATTGTCTCTTTCTGGTTCCACTTGTTTAACTGCAATAATAATAATAAATATTACTATTGCTATTATTTTGCACCATTAAACAAGGCTCGAGGGGGACCCACACACAGACACATGTTGCACTGTTTTCTCTGTGGCTCTAATAATTTTCTAATGCCAGAGGCGTTCTGCTTGCAATAACGACCGGTTAGACGGCCGGTTAGTCGGAGTTCAGTCCCCTGGCTGCAGTGCAATTATGGAGTGGACAAGCCACGAATCACAAAACAAAGTGAAGTCGACAACTAACCCTACCCCTAACCCAAACCCTAACCCTATGATGACAGCAGGGCACTGCACGCTGTCTATCGCCAACACACAGTAATTATGTCATTTGTTTCATTGCCTCTTTTCCACTCCGTAATATCACTGCAGCCAGGGGACTGAACTCCGACTAACCGGCCGTTTCCTTGCAACTACCGGCCGTAATTGCAAGGAGAGCCTACTTTTTTTTTTCCGTGGGAGAAGCCTGATTTATACATTACGTATGTGGACTTTGGGCTCTATGTGGGCGGAGTCTCCTTTTTGCCAACAGCACTGGCACCAGGTTGCATATATGATTATATGTTTTTAATTAGCTATTGTGTCGTGTGTGTCATCTACCATATACCCACACACCTCGAGCCTCCTGTTATAAATGTCCAGCCTGTGACAAGCGACACAATGACAACATCACCTGACTCATGACCGAGGACTGCTGCCACAAGACAAGACGCCTGTCAGATTGAGAACTTACCTGAGCCGGAGTTTTCGACAAGTCCACTCGCAGGATTTGACCAGCTGCCTTCCCGTCGACCTCCACCTCGGGAGCCACCAGATAGAAGTTACCCCTGTTGTCGAAGACGGGACCCTCAGCTCCAGCCAGCCCGTCCAGTACTTTCACAAACTCCAGCTGGACCACAGACATCCCCAACTTTTACACAGGACACTAATACATGGGATTTAACTCTGAAAATTGTAACATTATTATGAACACATTTACTTCCCATGATCTATTACGGCTATGGGACAACAACATGGTTAACAAACAGGTGAGTGAGACATTGGAGGAGGCACCGACAGACACCGAGTCGATCTGCTCGAACGATAGCAGACCTACGAGAATCCCTGACAGAAGGTGATACTGACAGCGCCCTCAATCTCGCTCTGGTCTCCCCCTGCATGAGTTCTCTCTTCCTGTGAGAGGTATTAGGACATCATGGAAGCGAACACCTGACATGTTGGATTTTGGTCAAGAAAACAACACTTATAAGATCACAGAAACCAGATAACATTGTTAAGTAAGGGGTATATCAGAATGATGTAACTGGACGTTTACTAGACAGTGCAGGCAGAACACCTGGGAGGAAGGTAGATGTGTATCAACAACTCCCATGTGAACACCTAAAATTGCCAAAGTATGCATAGAGAAACGAAGTGCCACCAAAGAATAGGACAAATGCAGAAAGTCTTCGAGACTGTCTGATGCTCAAATCATTGCCTTCTCCGTTAATAGAGTCGACCGTGCTCAAAACAAACCATTAAAGAAACATAAGATTACCTCACTGGACACTTCAAAGAAACTGCGAGGGAGGCTAAGCACACTAAAGGGGAGACATTTTGCAATGAAATAGGGTGCGAAAAATCCCTCACAAAATTCTGTCGACTCCACCGCAGTGTGAACGGCGGCAAACAATCCTGTAATATGCCCGAATTAAAGATGGACAGTGGAGTGATTTAAAGATGTGACGAAGACAAAGGCGAGCCACTCCTGCACAGATTTCTCCAGCAAACCGAAAAGACAGACAGAGGCGAGAGGAAGCAGATTAAACAAACAGTCCACGACATGCACATCACTGAAATGAATGGAGAAGAGGGCACAGTGTACATCTCTGTTGCAAACATCTGTCCTGACACAGTGTACATCTCTGTTGCAAACATCTGTCCTGACACAGTGTACATCTCTGTTGCAAACATCTGTCCTGACTCATTGTACATCTGTGTTGCAAACATCAGAGTTAACTGAAGACCTGTCCTGACACGGTGTACATCTCTGTTGCAAACATCTATTCTGACACAGGGTACATCTCTGTTGCAAACATCTATTCTGACACATTGTACATCTCTGTTGCAAACATCTGTACTGACACGGTGTACATCTCTGTTGCAAACATCTGTACTGACACGGTGAACATCTCGTTGCAAACATCTGTCCTGACACAGTGTACATCTCGTTGCAAACATCTGTTCTGACACAGTGTGCAAACATCAGAGCTATACTGAAGACCTGTCCCGACACAGTGAACATCTCTAGGCAAACATCTGTTCTGACACAGTGTACATCTCTGTTGCAAACATCTGTTCTGACACAGTGTACATCTCTGTTGCAAACATCTGTTCTGACACAGTGTACATCTCTGTTGCAAACATCAGAGCTATACTGAAGACCTGTTCCGACACAGCCTCAGGGCCTCATGGCCAAACATACAGTGACCTCAAATGCCTCGAGGAAACAGACACAGAATATGAAAAGCGGCATTGTCCCCGACGACTGGCTTCATGGCTACCTCATACCCATTCATAAGCACAGGAAAGATCACGAAAAAGTAAACGGCTAAATAACTATTATACTTCAGAACAATGTTGAATATTGAATGTTGAATTAATAATTGAATTGACGTCACAGCACTCGGGACACTCCATAGGTGTTCCCTCCCCATCTCCAGCAGCAAGCGAAGAGTTTCAATACCGATGGCACCAGTAACCGTCTGATTGTATATCCGTTTCATCCTTCCCCTAAGTGTTGAGCGTCAGCCAGATCCCCTGGTAACTTCTCGTAGTGCCATTCTTCTCAGACCGTAATGATTTATCTGCCCCTCCGCACTGTTCACACGTTCCAAAAGGGCTCTCACAATATCGAGCTTGTCATACATCAATTCACCATCAAGTGGTGCAGAGCCGGCCAGTCTATCTGTCTGCTCATTTCACAACACACCGGCATAACCTGGAGAAAATATCCAAAGGATCATAACTTATCCGGGACCTCTGAATTGATGCTTGCCACTCTGCACGAAGCATGCCTGTCTTCACCTTTCTCAACATGCTATGAGAGACAGACAATGATGGCATGTGTGTACAACTGATTCTCAAGCAAGCCGAAGGCAGCAGAGACTGCCACCACCTTCATTCTCAAACTAGACGTTGTGACATCATATGTAAGACTGCTGCACTAAGCGACGTCAATTCGCCTTTGCTATGAACCCCCATACGCTTCGTCTGCCCCTCCACACAGATCCCTCTGTATAGATAATCACACCACTTGAGCGGCAATTGTCATGAATCATTTGTTGAACATCTGATTCTGCAGCACCAGCTGGCCAGTCTCTTGCATTCACGAAAAAAAGTGATTAGAATCCTACACAAATATGAAACTTGTTCGGACACCTTGACTACTCCTCTCCTCACTCAAATTTATCAAGCCTGCACACATGTCCAAGTGTGTCTTAGTTAGCGCCTTCCTCTTTTTAGTCTGTGACCCTTAGCTCTACCTGATCCCCTTCCAAAACCTTAGCACATTTCAGAACACCGTAGGAAAACTCATGGAGAAAATCGTGGCCAGAAAGTTGACCTTAAAATTAGAATCAAATGGTCTTTTGGCACCCACACTAAGTGGGTACCGCCCGGGCAAAGATATCTGGTGCAATGCTGCAGTATTTGCTTACGACACATATGAGGGCTTCCAAACAGGACTGGAAACTCAAAAGACGCGTACAACAGCTTCCATACAACATGCTCAGAATGATGATGGATATGCACATAATAACTCCGTCTTTACTTCTTGTATGCTATTTGTTAACCACCGTTTAAGACTGATAGTCTTATTCTTTGCTTATGTATTCCTACCCCGGGACTGCAGGCTACGGTGACTCTAATGTAGAAACAACCGACCCGGCTGCCTCGAGATACTAGCTAAGTGATTTTGTGTATCTGTGTAGTATTGTTTCATTTGTATGTGCTGATGAAGGCTCAATAGCTGCAACGTTCACGTTTTGCTTGTATTTGTTATATTGGGAAGCTTGCTAATATACTTTTCGTTCGGTTTTATATCTTTTTTTTTTAAATGTAGAAACGAACTGAAGGTCACTTTACAAAGACGGATACAAAACGGGCGGAAATTCAATGTGTATTTACTAGGGCTGTACCGAATATTCGCTTCGTATTCGCTTCGGGGCCGAATAGGACCAAATAACTATTCAGTATTCGGCCGAATAGCTGCGGTCGGGCCCAATACGAATAGTGGTTACCTCACAACCGTTTCTGGACTGGTAGAAAAAAAAAACATCAAGACTTCCCACCTTGGTTTATACTGTGAAGCGTTATCTTTGTGCACCACCTACTAGCGTACCAAGTGCCCCTTTATTTCCATCTTGCATGTGTTGCGAGTATAGTGTTTTTAGGTGTGTTGCTGTAGAAACAAAATGCAACACTTAAAAATGTAAGAGGGGCAGAAAAGCAAGTGTTCTAGTGTTGTCGGCTTGATTTCTTTGAGTGGAGTGTCTTCTTCGTTGATTCTTTGAAGTAACGGGAGTTCGTCATCATTTATGGGTGTCGTATCTGTTCCTTCGTCGTCTCGTGGAAACGGCAGCGGCTGAATGTTTTGATCAACGTTCGGTTTCTTGATTGTCTTTGTTGTTTGATCTTCTGGCGTTGGCCGCCCGGCGTCTGGTTTCGTGAGCTCGCTGGGGGCTGGGTGACTTGTAAGGACGGCATTGTTTTATTCGTCGGCTTTTTTTTTTGTTTTTGATGTTTCGCCTTGCGGGTTTTCATTTTGATTCTCTGTATTTGTCGTATTTTCCTGTTTAGTACAGCTGGAAATACCTTCAGTGAGACAAAAAGCTGGCCTAATGCTGACAACATGGAACGAAGGTTTTTCATGGAGGTGTGTCAGCACACGAACTAATACGAGCTGCAGGAGATCGCAGATTGTGGCGAGCCATAATCGCCCATGCTAGCCGGCAAAGCACATGATGATGATGATTCACTATTCGTATTCGGCCGAATAGTTGGTCCAGCTATTCGTATTCGGCCGAATAGTGAAAATCACTATTCGGTACAGCCCTAGTATTTACAACTCCATGCAAATTAAAGTTTTGACCGCGGGTAAATATGAGCTTAATTACTAAGTGTTTAACATCCTCTATTAAATAATTTTGTTGCTTAATAGGTAATTAGTCGATATAAAATTGGCAGCCATTCAAAGTGCATTTAAGATTCCCCTGATGAATAATCAACATTCTTCTTCTTCGCGTTCACCAGCCGTAAACACTGGCGGAAAGTTCTGGTTGTTCATCCACTTCTGGACTGCAGTTTTGTTCCAGATTATAAGTGTTGCGTGTGCATCCGTTTTACAGATCTGACTTTTTTGTATGCAGACTGTTGGTTCCTTGCTTCTTAGGCAGATGCACTCCGACTTTGAAGGAAGCTCCCAGTTGAACTAAACATTTTTAAACATTAGCTTCAGATGTCGTAAATAATCCAAGCATTAAAATGTTGTTGATTATAATTATACCATTAATAATTTCAAACTAAGAATTGTTTATAAAGAAACATTTGGAACATTTTGCTGCTTTCAACTGCAAATTTGATGTACTGAGAAGTTGTTTGAAATATTTACGACACTGAATCCATTGAAGTCAAACAAAATGGCGACCGGATCAGTTCGTCCGGTCCGTAACATTAACTTGAAAAGTGGGCGATTTACTTATCGGAGTAAGTGCCTCTCTCAGTTTCTGCTGATTTATTTAATTGCTAGTATCGCAGAAAGTATGTCTTTTTACACTTATTTCATTAATCGTTGCTTACTTTGCTTGCTTTTCAGGTCGGCACGAAAGTTCTGAAGATGTTGTTATAAAGTTGGATCACAGTCGAGGTAAGTCTCTCGCTCTTCTTATCTATTTTATTTTCCTTTTTATGTAAACACTGCAGTAGGAAATAGATATATTGTTGCCATTCTTGAAAACACAACACCGAAAAAGTTCTTTCTTTGCATTTAATTATCCGCCACTTATCAGTAGGGAGACAGGAAGTCAACTGTCTTCAGTCACAGGAACTATAGGGTTGTGATTTCAGTCAGTCTCAAGCCAGTGTGCTGTTAAAAAATGTAGTCAAGTTATTTAGCATTCTTGATTGTCGAGCCATTTGACAGCCAGCTGTGGTGTAGTATGCATTCTGTGTGTTTAGTTAAAACTTTATATATAGCCATGACTTATGTATAGTATATAGTATATTTAATCGGAGTCGCCATGGTGAAGCGGCTAGATTCTCGCCTGCAGATCTGAAGGTCTTGGGTTCTGACTTTTTTTCAAAAATAACTTGGCATCCAGGTTGACCCAGCTCTGAGTGGACCCCAGGTAAAGTTCTGAGAAGTAAGGGTGGCCGGGACGATACTGACCACATCACCCACCCAGTGCTGCTTCTTCTTTGCGTTCATCGGCTGTAAACTCTAGCAGATAGTTCTTGTTTTTTGTAAAGTATATGTCTAGCTCTATTGGCTTGAAGAACTGACATGTCAGCACTCGAGATGTTCCATTGGCTTTCACATAAATTTCTATCCCCATCTTCAGCAACCAGTGCATAATTCCAAACAGATGGTGCCAAAGGTTGTCTGATTAACCAAGTCGTATGTAATTGCTTAGCCTCCATTATTAATAGCTGTGAACAACATTAGGCTCCTTGCACCTTTGGACGCAAGCTGGACGGCTTAGGTCGGCTTAGTGGGAGTTCTCTCCCTTGGCCACATTGAAAACAAGTAGCGGAAAAAATCACGAATCAAACAAGACAGTGAGGTCGACACCAGGGCTGCCAATGCTTGGTTGTGTCCCCCAGATCTGGGTTTTTTTTTTTGACGCTGCGGGGAAATCTGTTTTTTTTGTGTGGGTGTTTTGCCGATCTGTATACTTTAATGACCGATAATATTGCGTGGGTAGGGTTAGGGTTAGCGGTAGGATTGGGGTTAGGGTTAGGGGTAGGGTTAAGGTTACGGTTAGGGTTAGGGGTAGGGTTAGGGTTAGGGGTAGGGTTAGGGGTAAGGTTAGGGGTAGGGTTAGGTTTAGCGCTAGATGTGACAATTTTGACGCCGTAGTTCCCTATAATCGTGCACAGTCACATACACACCCAAACAGTCAACGGACGGTGGATGCTTCTGACACGGACAATTCGCCACCGATTGGGCACTAGCCGCGCGCTATTGCCGTCATATTTGGCACACTTCCAGTGGTGCCACTCCCACAAGCATCAGATTGTCGCCCAGTATTTGGAAGTTCTACGTCACCATTTTCACATCTAACCCTACCCCTAACCCTACCCCTAACCCCTAACCCCAATCCACACGTACGCAACCCTACACGCAACCGTATGATGATGATAGACACCCTATGCAGCACTACACGCAACCGTATGATGATAGGTAACCCTAGACGCAACCGTATGATGATTACGCAACCCTACACGCACCCGGATGATGATAGGTAAGTATGTCATTTGATTCGTGACTTTTCCGCTCGTTTTCAATGCGGCCAAGGGAGAGAACTCCCACTAAGCCGACCTAAGCCATCCAGCTTGCGTCCAAAGTTGCAAGGAGAGCCCAATATTATATTATCGGTTTCTTGCCTCTCAAGCAGATGTACTCTGATTTGAAAGAAACATTGGCCAGATGTATCATGGGTATCCAAGCGATACATTATCATGACAGTGTTTCGGCTTGTTGATTGCACCTGCAGTGTTCAGGTAATCCACCACCTGCACTAGTACATTACTCAGACTGTTCAAGACCTCACCACACCTCTGCAGTCAGCTTAAAAAAAAGTCCTGTAACAAGACCTCCAAGAACAAGAAGAGGTCTTCTTCTTTTTCTTCACGTTCATTGGCTGTAAAATTCTACAGAAAGTTTTGTTAGGTCATCCATTTGGGGACTTTAGTCTTGTTTTAGAACTTGAGTATTGCCTGCACATCCATTTTACAGCTCTGGTTTTGTATGCAGACTATGGGTTACTCACCTCTCAGGTAGATGCGCTCCGAACCCTCTAATTGGGAGACTTTTTTTGACATACTTATTAGGTGGGCAGTGCGTCTATTCTTTATTAACACCAAATGGGGCCCCAGAATTCACATGGGGAGGAATGAGACCAAAGTCCAGACAATGGATGAACGAACAACCAGGACTTTTCGCCAGTGTTTACAACTGGCGAACGCATAAGAAAAGAAGAAGAAAAAGATTCTTTGCATCTGATGAAGATTTTCATCAGCAAATATCTGGCTCATCAGGCTTCCTACTCTCTTTATTTGGTACTATCTGCCTTTCTGAATGATAATTTTTTATTGTGCTGTAAAATCACAGCCTATGGCGAGTGTGACTATCAAGACCCGCTTTCATTAAGAAAACATTCCTCATTTAATTCCTCTTCTCCATGAAACAGAAAACCTAGGCATTACTGCAGTTCTATCTCTGCGCCCCCCCCCCTCCCTCCCATTCTTGCCTTGTTTATTCCAGAGGATAGGTAACCCAGATTCATTTGGAAGAAAGCTGTAGAAGCTGCTGTGTCAGAATAGCAGTGCTTTCTCTGTCAGCCTTTTGGTTTTGGAGCTCCCTCCCCCACACCCTTTCCTCAACCTGCTGCTAGCCAAGGCTAAGAGTCTGGTCTGCTTTGCCATATCATGAAGTTTCCAGGTTGCCTTTCCTCTTCCTAGGCTAAGGCTAAAATTGCCTAAAGACGTTGACACAAGGCGGTATATGAGCTCTTTATACTGACTATCTCGTGATGTATCGCTTGTTTCAGAACCTGCCGACAATGTACGGGAGGTTTTGAGGAATGTTGTGCCTCAGCACGGCGTAGCCAGCAGCCGTAAAACAGCCTACTTGAACAGCTTTGTCAAACTGATCAAACATGTCGGCTACGACCAAAGCCTGGGGGTTTCAATTCTCGACATTGTCACCTGGTGGGTACTAACTTATTTGACCTTTTTTGTCACTTGGTGGGTACTAACCTATGTCACTTGTTACCTGGTTGGTACTAACTCATGTCACTTGTCACCTGGTTGGTACTAACTCATGTCACTTGTCACCTGGTTGGTACTAACTCATGTCACTTGTCACCTGGTTGGTACTAACTCATGTCACTTGTCACCTGGTTGGTACTAACTCATGTCACTTGTCACCTGGTTGGTACTAACTCATGTCACTTGTCACCTGGTTGGTACTAACTTATTTTATGTCACTTGTCACCTCGTTGGTACTAACTTGTGTCACTTGTCACCTGGTTGGTACTAACCTTTGTCACTTGTCACCTCGTTGGTACTAACTCGTGTCACTTGTCACCTGGTGGGTACTAATTTATTTTATGTCACTTGTCACTTGGTTAGTACTAACTTAATTTATGTCACTTGTCACCTGGTGGGTACTAACTTATTTAACCTCATTTGTCACTTGGTGGGTACTAACCTTTGTCACTTGTCACCTGGTTGGTACTAACTTGTGTCACTTGTCACCTGGTTGGTACTAACTTGTGTCACTTGTCACCTGGTTGGTACTAACTCATGTCACTTGTCACCTGGTTGGTACTAACTTGTGTCACTTGTCACCTGGTAGGTACTAACTTATTTTATGTCACTTGTCACTTGGTTAGTAGTAACTTATGTCACTTGTCACCTGGTTGGTACTAACTTGTGTCACTTGTCACCTGGTTAGTACTAACTTTTTGTCACTTGTCACCTGGTTGGTAGTAACTCGTGTCACTTGTCACCTGGTAGGTACTAACTTTTTTTATGTCACTTGGTTAGTAGTAACTTATGTCACTTGTCATCTGGTGGGTACTAACTTATTTTATGTCACTTGTCCCTTGGTGGGTACTAACTTATTTTATGTCACTTGTCACTTGGTTAGTACTAACTTGTGTCACTTGTCATCTGGTGAGTACTAACTTATTTTATGTCACTTGTCACTTAATTTATGTCACTTGACACCTGTTAGTACTGACTTACTTTATATCAAAAGCAATATGTCCCTGTATGGGTTTTGGACCGCTGTTTTGTGGGAAAAAAGAATAGACCCACAGCCCCCACCCCCTCCCCTCTTCCCCAAAAAACATGTCATAAAAGTCTACCAGTTAGGGTTTTTTCCTCATAAGTTGGAGCATTTGGCTGAGAAATGAGTAACCAACAGTCTGCCTACAAATAAGTCAGATCTGTAAAATGGTTATGCATTCAAAACTGAAGTTCTGGAACAAACCTAAAGTCCAGAAGTGGGCGAACAACCAGAACCTTCCGCCTGTAGGCGATGAAAATGAAGAAGAAAAAGATGGAAACCCTAGAAAACCAAGATGCAAATATTGTAAAAGATTGACTTCTCTTTGTAAGTTCTGGGGATCTGTTTGGGGGTACACTGTAAAAGGCAAATCTTTAGGAGTTCGATGAAATTGGATGAGTTGGTCTCCCAGGTGCAGATTTCGCAGCCTAGCTGCACACCATATCATAATCTGCCAACCACCTTTTTAAGAGTGAAAACAGAGATTAGATTAACTAACAAAGAGAAAAAATTGATGACAGCAGAATGGGTTAACAAATGGCATGAAAGTTAATCATATCTGACACTTGCGTCCGAGAAGAATCAGACTAAACACACATATTGACAGCAACGGTCATGAAATCCTATGCTATAATTGTGGAGGACTTTTCTTAATGCGTGCGGGTCTTGCTAGTCCCACTCGTCATCGCCATGTTCTGTGAGTCCCATGCCTCATCATAGCGCAATATATCACATAATCGTCTGGAAAAACGGAAAGGTGCCAATACATAAACAATGAATCCCCCATGTGGGTTTCGGGGTCCTGTTATAGGGAAAACAAGAATAGACCAACTGCCTGCCCAATAGCATGTCGTAAGAGTCAACTAACTTGGATCTTCCTTCAAAGTCGGAGTGCATCTGCCTGAAAGGCAAGGAACCAGCAGTTTGCATGCAGATGAGTCACATCTTTAAAACAGATGCACACGCAAAACTCAGATTCTGGAAAGGACTGCAGTCCAGAAGTGGATGAACAACCAGAACTGTCCGCCAGAGTTTACAGCTGGTGAACGCGAAGAAGAAGAAGAAGAAGAAGATGCACAATGATATCTTGTAATGGCTTTATAGATGCTTGATATTATTTTCAGCCTTCAGATTGGCCTACTTAATGAGGCCAAACAAGTTCGGACAGCATCGCTTCGAGTGCTGCGTTACCTTTTGCCTTACGAGGAGACCCTGGACACATTGTTGAACTTACACTTTGATTATTTAATTGCCAGGTAGGAATGAACTGCTTTGGTAAGATAATTGTGTATGTACAAAAAAAAAAAAAAAAAAAAAAAATTTTGCATTGTTCTGTTGGTCATGTGTCTAGCAGTTGCTCACTGATTTATTTAGGTTGAAGAACTACAGGAGTTTCAAGGAAAGACAGAATACAAAAGCACGAAAACAGACGAGTGCCAGGAATAAAGGCAGTCTTACAAGTCATCAAAGAACAACAAATGAAGTTTTGACACATAACAAGAATGCCTGGTACTATCTGCTACAACGAGCCACACTAAAACATTACAACAGGTATAGAGCGAGTGGAAGACTTCCGAAAAGATGGAGTGATGGCATTAAGAACAGCCTTACAGAAATGAACATCAGTCTTAATAGTGCTCTTGACAGAGCTTATCAAGGAATGTTACACTTCCCCTGACACTTCGTTGAGGTACAAGGTGGAAGAGAAGAAGAAGAAGAACAAGAAGATTTCTTACCATATTGTTAACTTATTCTTCTTCTTAAATTCCATGCCGTGGGGATCCGGGGAGTTGCTTAGTCCTGGTTTAATTCATCTTCTTTCTTGAAGTCCATTCCGTGTGGCATGGTAGTAATGTCTATCCACAGCCTTCTGTCTTGTGTACTTACAGTCAACTTTGATAAAGATGATCTTCCATGCCATGATGTCAAACTGTCTGGCATCTTTTCTCCTGGTCTCCCTATGCCTGTCTTGCCTCCCATCTTTCCTCCTGTCAGGATGTACTCCACTTTTTCCTTATCAAACAGTTATACATAATTTTATTATACAGAGCATTAATACTCACCCTGTCACACATAATTTTGTTCTACACAGCATTATCACTGACCCTGTTGTCATACATAGTTTTATCATCTGGGTAAAGATTCAATATCCCAACATTATCACTGACACTCTTGTCATACATAGTTTTATTATCTGGGTGAAGATTCAACATCCCAGCATTCAGGACAAACTTATGTTTGCTCCATCTCCCTCCTTAACAGTCAGTGATAAGTTTCCATACTTATGGTGCCTGTTGTCATCTGGTTAACTACTTGTTGTCCCTCTGAGTTTCGAGTGGCGTCCAGAGCCCACTGCTACTCCCAGCTGTTAATTCCTTGCCTCTCATGCAGATGCACTCCGATTTTGAAGGATGCCCCAATTAATCGACTGCTGCCGCAATTAATCGACTGCTGCCCCAATTAATTGACTGCTGCCCTAATTGATCGACTGCTGCCCCAATTAATCGACTGCTGCAACATGCTTGTTAGGGAGGCAGTAGATCTATTCTTGTTTTCCCCGCTATGGGGCCCAGTAACCCACACAGAGAACACAGATGTTAACACCAGTCCTGTTATCAAACACAATATTATTGCACATAATGTTAACACACACAGTGTTATCAAACACGGTGCTATTGCACAGAATGTTATCAAACATAATATTATTGCACATAATGTTAACACACACAATGTTATCAAACACGGTGCATTTGCACAGAATGTTATCATACTTGATCTCCATGTCCAGGTGTTTGGATGTGAGCCTGGACAACGAGATTGAGAGGATCCATGCAGTGAAACTGATGCGACAGATCATCAAAACCTCTCCCTTCAAATTCCCCTCTTCATTGTTATACGCGCTGGTCGCTATTGGCAACGATGGGGCTAGTGAGAGGGACCGGATGGTCAGAGTGTGCCTAGAGACAATATGTGAATTAGGTAAATATATAAATGTATGTGAATATATAAATATGCATAAATAAGATAAATATATGTCACTAAAATATGTGATCTGCAAGTGTCAGATTGGCTTCCATGTGTGGGTTCCGGGGCCCCATTGTGGGGAAAACTAGAATAAACTCACTGCCTCCCCAACAAGCATGTTGTAGGAGTTGACTAATTGGGAGCTTCCTTTGAAGTTGGAGGAGTGCAACTGCCTAAGAGGCAAGGAACCAATAGTCTGCCTACAAATGAGTCAGATTTGTAAAATGGATGTGCACCCACAACTTCTGTCTGAAACAGGGCTAAAGTCCAGAAGTGGAAGAACAAGCAGAACGTTTTTCTGAAGTTGACAACCAGCAAACATGATGAAGAAGAAGAAACTGGCTATGCAAGTATATGTGAATTAGTTAAATATGCATTGTCGCATTCAGAGCCATATTTTAGGCAATGTGCAACATGTGCGGCTGAATTTGGCGGTAACATTTTGGAAACGGCACAATATAACTTGTAGTTTAAAAAATGTCAGTATCTTTATTCCTTTTATCATTGTGAAAGTTTGTCTTGTAGTGTGCATACTAAATGTTGAATTTTGAATTAAGAATCAACATTACAGCACTCATGACACTCCTTAATTGCTCCATCGCCCTCTTCAGCAGCAAGCGCGGAGTTCTATTTCTGATAGCACCAATAACTGTCTGATTGTATATCTGTCTCACCTTTCTCTTGATAGTTTAGCTTTGGCCAGATACCCTAGTAACTCCTCACATCTCTGCTCTATTAGTACCTTAACTTGCAATATTTTTTTAAAAATCATTTGACAGCTCTTAGCAACACAGACCTGGTGGCCAAGTGCGGAGCTATCCAGACGTTGATTTGGAACATTCTAGACTGTCACCAGTATCCTCGCCTCAATGAGGCCCTGACCGCCACCATCATCTTCATGCTCAATCATCCAAGAACTCGTCATTATATTCGTCCTCAGGTAGATCTGGAGGTGAGTTCATCTGGTCTTGTTGTCTTCTAAAGTGTCATGTAAACAAACGTTGATAAGTTGTGTTTACAACAAAATTGTTTGTTTTCCTGTGGGAGTTCCAGGGTTTTACACATATAGACCTCCCCGTGTGGGTTCCGGGGCCCTATTATAGGGAAAACAAGAATAGATGCACTGCCTACCCAAAAGCATGTCGTAAGAGTCGACTGATTGGAAGCCTTTGTTTCAAAGTCGGAGTGCATCTGCCCGAGAGGCAAGGAACCATCAGTCTGCATACAAATGAGTCAGATCTGTAAAATGGATGCACACGCAATACTCAGGTTCTGGAACAGGAACTGCAGTCCAGAAGTGGGTGAACAACCAGAACTTTCTGCCAGAGTTTACAGCTGGTGAATGCAAAGAAAAGAAGACATTATAGACCAACTACCCCTAAACAAGTGTGTCGTTAAGGGGGGACTGATTGAAGGTTTTGCTGGAATCCGATGTGTTAAGCCAGAAGGTACAAATATTGTAGCCTGGCTCCCCGTGTGGGTTCTGGAGCCCCATTTTGGAAAAAAAAACAAGAATAGACCCACTTCCTCATGTGGGTTCCGGGGGCCACGTTGTCAGAAAAACAAGGATAGACCCACTGCCTCCTCAACAAGCATGACCTAAGAATTGACTAATTGGGGGGCTTTCTTCGAAGTCAGAATGCATCTTCCTGAGAGGCAAGGAACCACACATAGATCTGCATATAGATAAGTAAAACGAATGTACACACAACACTTTGGTTCTAGAACTAAATTCTAGAGGTGGGTGAACGTCAAGAACGTTCTGTCAGTTTTTACATCCAGTGAACATGAAAAAGAAAGAAAAAGAACTACCCCCCCCCCTCCCTGAAAAGCCCCCCCCCCCCCCCCCCCCCAAAAAGAAAAAAGCCTGTCATAAAATTGGACTAATTAGAAGTGTTTCCTTCAAAGTCCCTGAGAGGCGAGAAACCAAAAGTCTGCTTACAAAAAAAAAAAAAACCAGATCTGTAAAATGGATTTGCACACAAAACTCAGGTTCTGGTACAAGACTGAAGTCCAGAAGTGGGCGAACAACCACAAAGTTTCTGCAGAAGTTAACAGCTGGTGAACACGAAGAAGAAGAAGAGGAGATGCGAAACAACATGTGGCGCATCCAGTAGACCTCACAAAAAAGTTGTGGGGACACCTCTGAGACATCGAGCTGACACACCAGTTTAAGACCCACAGTGGATTAGGCACATGAGCAGAGGTCGCTGATGAAGAAGACACATCATCATTCAGTTTAAGTTTTTGTCTAAATAATCCGTCAGCTGTTGACTTGCCATGGATTGTTTCTCTTTCAGCGATTGCTTGCTCCATTTACAGACAGCCATTTCCGTTACAGTCTGGAAGATGGCAGAAGGTCAGTACCATGTGTTCAAGTGTAGGCATGTGTAGTTAACCACCAGGTTAAAGTAATATCTCCCAGTGTAGGCATATGAAAACTACATGACTAATGTAATATGTTCTGGAGTAGGCATACATAGTTACCTATAGGGTTATAAGACGAGGGCGCTTTTGTTAAAAACCTTAACAGTGATTTAAAAAAAATGTTGTCTTGTAACCTCTTGTATTATTTTTAAGGATGTCAGGAGTGTTAAGCATGTGATATCACAGTGTAGATGAACACAGATGCGTCATAATGTTCGCCCTTCTTTAATCATTCAACACCATTTCCTAACCATACTATTAGCCATAACATCTGGCCCATAAACCTCAAAGTGATTCCGCTGTTCACAAAACACACACACACACACGCACGCACGCACGCGCGCGCACGCACGCACACACACACACACACACACACACACACACTTTGGGCAAAGTAAAAAAGCATTCCAAATGAAAACTGCGGCTCACAGTGTCACGTCATGCACTCAACTCAGCAGCCAGGCAGTGGAACTATGTCTTATTATGGTATCTAGTTGTATGGTGACCATTGTTTAAGATGTATTACTCCATTTTAAAAACTCTGAAGCAGAGAACTTTACTTTTTCTTACAGCGAAGAGAGAGATTCCAGATTTATTGCCAGCAAAATGGCTGTCATAACTGTGATGCGATCATGGCCAGGTAGGACTTTTGGTTTTACATTTTACATTCCCATAATACATGCTTTGGTTGCAAAATGACTAACACACTTGCTCGTCTCTTATGTGATTCAGTAGTTCTGAAAGTAAGCAGAGTAAGTTTTATTCTTCTTCTTTCTTCTTCTCCTCCTCCTCATCTTCTTCTTCTTCTTTTTTGAGTTCATCTGCTGTATACTTGGAGAAAAAAGTTCTGGTTGTTCGTCCACTTCTGGACTTTGGTCTTCTTCCAGAAGAAGAACAAAATGGGACAGCGGAACTCACCCAGGGAAGCAAAGTAAACCCTTTTACACCAGTAGTGCACCAGATATATGATGCTAGACTCAAGCTGGCTCATGTTATGTGGATCAGTCGGTACATCATTGGGGATGTGGTCATCATCTCATCGGCTGCCTTTACTTCCCAAGACTTTACCTGGTGCCCATTTTGTGCTGGGTCAACCTGGGACCCAAGGTAATTTTTTTTTTAAAGCCAGTTTGATTTGGATTTGAACCCCAGACCTGTACAACTCAGCAAATCCCAGGGGTTCAGTAGATGGGGGTTTATATATTAATGCTGGTACAGCACGGATAGCCTAAGTGTTACCAGTGTGCATTAGGGCAATCTCCCCAATTTGGTGGTCCATAGACCCATAGGAGTCAGCAGAAGAAGTTTAAGAGGTCCATTCCCTCTGTGGGCTCCATTTCGGGGTACAAGAGAATAGACCCACGCCCTCCAACAAGAAATAATGATAGAGATAGTAAAGATTCTGTGTACAATATACGTTTGTGTGTATGTATCTGTAGGCGTTATGTCTGTCTGTTCAGATATTCTGGTGAGTGGTCTGTCATGTATGTAGTATGTCATGTATGTATGTATGTATGTATGTCTGTATGTATGTATGTATGTATTGTATGTATGATGTTCATAAGTTGTATGTATTTATATGTAAATGTATGTATATCTCATATATAAAATTGTGGATGCATGTTGTGTGTGTTACATGATGTTCCCTGTGTTTATGTGCCGTGTCTTATTCGGTGTGTGTGCACCCTATGTGATGGCTGTGTGTGAATGCAGTCTCTGATGGGTGCATTCTCTACCTTCCTTATGTATGTATTGATGTATCAGCCCTTATGTTTTTGTGTGAGTGATCGCATACATATTTTTGTTTGCCTGTGTTTTGTTTTTTGATTATTATGCATATTATTACATGTGATGCATGAATTTATGTCGACAAAGAGACTAAGTTTGCTTGCCTGCCAGTAACCCAAATGGCTGTTCGAGTTCAAATCTAACAAGTATAGAGATAGCAGAGACAAATAATTATCCTAATTGATTTTCCATTCATGACAGATGTCACGCTTCTGTTATTATGTAAAATTGGCAATGTTCGTAAGATAATTTTATAAAAACTGTCTCATATATACAATTGTGGATGCAGTTTATTGGTTACATGATGTCCCATATTTCTGCAGGTCTTATTCGGTTATGCCACCCTGATGGCTCGGGAATGCAGTCTCTGATAGGCATTCTCTACCTTCCTTATGTGGAGATCAGAGTAAGTTGTGTGATCGCATTACTTTCACTTGTTATTAATATTATGTGATGCAGGAAGTTATGTCGGGCAAAGTGACTAACATGCTTGCCTGCCAGCCCAAATGGCTGTGAGTTCAAATCTGCGTAAAGGCAGATGGGAAAAAAAATTTGATTTGAGAAGTTACATGATTGTAATGCAGTTGGAAAGTACTCCAAAATGATTGTAATGCAGTGTAAAAATATTTTTGCTCAATGGGAAATTACTCCCAAGTGTTTTTATAGCACAGTGGGAATTTACTGAAATATTTTCAAAAGTTTCTAATGCAGTTTTATAGCACAGTGGGAAATTACTCTAAAAGTTTCTAATGCAGTTGCAAAATACTGAAAACTTTATTAAATATTGTGGGAGATTACTTATAAATGTATCTATTGCAATAAAGAATTACTACAAACTATTTTAAATGCAGTGAAACATACTGTTAAACATATTTTTTTATACAACTGGAAATGACTTTAAAATGGTTGTAGTGTAATATAAGTTAATCAGAACAGTTTCTAATGCGGTGTTACTCCATAATGGGTAAAATGCAGTGAAAACATACTAAAGAATTCTAACTAACACAAGTTTCTGTGGAAATTAGTCTAAAATATTTCTTATGCAATGGAAAGTTACTCAAAAATATTGGTAAGCATCATAATTGGAATGACATTTTAAAATGTAAGAAAAAAGTAAACAATCAGAAAGAAAATTAGTAACCACGGAAACAGGATGTCTGAGAAGGGCTGCAGGAGTGACCAGAAGAGATACAAATCAATAATGAGGTCATAAGAGAAAAGACAAATCAGATGGTTTGTCCACTTAGAGAGAATACCTTGTGTTGTGCTGGCATGAGTGGCGTAACCATAAATAGGGCAATGTAACAAATGCCATGGCCAAGTGTAATATTTTTAAACGCTTCCAAACGCAGTTGAACGATGAACACTCTTATATAGGTAACAAAAATTTTTTGACAATCATTGTCAAAGAAGGGAGAATGTGCATTAGTAACTCAAACGAAGGACCTTGAAGACCATACATCAATCAATTTTTTTTTTTGACAGGAGAAAAGAACAAACAATCAGATGGTTTGTCCACTTAGAGAGAACACCTTGTGATGCCATACCATATAGGGCATACACTAAATGATAAGAAGGACATAGAGCATGAGGTAGACAAGAACAAGATGGACTGATAACATCAGAGAAACTGTTTGATTAGTGTTTTCTAGAAGATAATGTTCTTATGGATATGTTGTCTTCTACACAGAAATATATTTTAGAAGTGATATCTGACCTGTTCCGTCTCACCTTGCCAGTTTGGACTGATGATTTTGCAACGGCATTTTCTAGTGTGGGTAAGTTAGCTGTCAGATTATATAACTGATATATCTGTCATGCCTAATTCTCTTTTTTTATTTACATGCTGTAAAGTTTTGTGTGTGTGTGTGTGTTTAAACTGCATCCCCCTTCTCCTCGACTTAAGACCTTTATGATGAATACCCACACACACATTTACAACCGCAAAAAAAAAAAACTACAAACGAACATAAAGGAATAAAAATAGTAAATAAAGAAAACATAACTACATGGGTAGGGTAAGAAAGTTCCCGGAACCGATGCTTGGGTCTAATTATATGTACATCAATTTTTTGTTTAGTGTACAATTTTTGTAACACGTTTAAATTAAAGTATTGTTTAAAAATATAAATTCGACCTACGACCTGTTAGTTGGAATGGAACTAGATCGTAAGTTGAGTAGATCATGTACTTCATTGTCATAAAATAGCTTGTCCTTTACATAATTTTGCCTCTATAACTGTTACAGGATAGTTGTTAGAATTTTGTGGGCCAAAAAATAGAAAAATGCTGGTGTTTTTCACAATCTGAATATTAAGGGGGCTAGCTGATACATAGTAACCATGACCAGACTGCAAAAACAGCATGTTAAAAGGGGTGAGGCCAAGGAAGCTAGTAGAAGAAGCCAGAGAAGCTAGTGGAAGAAGCCAGAGAAGCTAGTGGAAGAGGCCAGAGAAGCTAGTGGAAGAAGCCAGAGAAGCTAGTGGAAGAAGCCAGAGAAGCTAGTGGAAGAAGCCAGAGACTCTAGTGGAAGAGGCCAGAGAAGCTAGTGGAAGAAGCCAGAGAAGCTAGTGGAAGAAGCCAGAGAAGCTAGTGGAAGAGGCCAGAGAAGCTAGTGGAAGAAGCCAGAGAAGCTAGTGGAAGAAGCCAGAGAAGCTAGTGGAAGAAGCCAGAGACTCTAGTGGAAGAAGCCAGAGAAGCTAGTGGAAGAAGCCAGAGAAGCTAGTGGAAGAAGCCAGAGAAGCTAGTGGAAGAGGCCAGAGAAGCTAGTGGAAGAAGCCAGAGAAGCTAGTGGAAGAAGCCAGAGAAGAATAAGAAACCAACACAAAACTGGTGTCGTCAGCCGCTAAACGCCGAGGGATTTACTAAAGGGGTCGGAGCCCTTCAGGACTGACTGGTTTGATGTGTAGTGAGGAAAATATGTTGCTTAAATAACTAGTCTTGTTTATTGGAAACTGAAATATTTCAACCATATTATTCATCAGAATGATTTGGAGAGAACGTTAATGGAAGGCATCATCATCATCCTTTATGTGCTGTTTGACGTCACATAAGGCATGCATTCGATTCCTTTACTTTATTCTTTTGCATGCAACTGTCTCGATTTCTGCCATGGAGTTCAGCCCAACATTTTAAGGCCTTGTGTTATATTCTTCTTCTCAATGTTTACTTTGGATGTCCTCTTATTTCTCAGGCTGTTTGTGTCCCATTTCAGTGCTTGTTTTGTTGTAATTATTTGCTCGTTTCGCTGGCATATGTTAGAATATAACGGAAGGATGGTTTCCTGGGAAAAAAATAGGCAGGTGATGACCAGCATGATGGTAGACACGGGATATCAACGGCACTCTGGGCATGAAAGTTCCACCAGGCGGGAAATGTTGGTGGATGACTGAGGTCTTTCCAGGGCGCAATGAGGAACAACATTCTGCAGAGAACTTGCTGTATGTGATGATGATGATGATGATAGTTGTTGTGGTGTTGATGATGGTGGTGGTTATGATGATGATGGTTGTGGTGATGATAATGGTGGTGGTGGTGGTGGTTGTGGTGATGATGATGATGGTGGTAATGATAGTGGTGGTGATGAAGATGAACTTGTTCTGTGTATGTTTACCTCCCTAACTGTCTTTTCAAGTCAATCTCTCTCTCTCTATCTCTCTCTCTCTCTCTCTCTCTCTCTCTCTCTCTCTCTCTCTCTCTCTCTCTCTCTCTCTCACACATGACACACACACACACACATGCACACGCGCACACACACACAGATATATATATATATATGCAGGATGTTCTGTGAATGATCAGACATCTATCATATCTTGTGTCCATTGGTGTTGTGGTCTTCCTTTGCATCCTCACTCCAGTACAAGTTTTTAGTTGGTGGTTGATGATGTCATGTTTGTGACCCATAGATCCGTGTGAACTGAAGGACTCATGGAAACTGCCTGAAGGATTTGTTGTAGAGGAGGGCCGAGAGATACTGCCACACATCTCACAGACCAGGTGTGTGGACATGCAGCGGGAGTGTGGTGTTTTGTTGTTGTTCTTGTTGTATCTTTATACTTTGCAGTACTTTAGCCATTCTTTTGTGAGTTTTTTTTTTTTTTTGGGGGGGGGGGGGGGGGACCTTGTCACTTGGACATAATAGAAGCTGATCCAGAGGTCGAACATGCAAGCGATGGATAGATGGATTCTTCTTCTTCTTGTTCTTTGTTCACCAACTGTAAGTTCTGGCGGAAAGTCCTGGTTGTTCGTCCATTTAGACTTTGGCTTTGTGCCAGACCTGAGTTCTGCATGTACATGAGTTTTACTGGCTTATTTGTGGGTAGTGGATTGTTCCTTGCCGCTAGGGCAGATGCACTCCCACTTCGAAGGAATTCTCCAGTTAGTCGACTCCTACGGCATTCTTGTTGGGAAGGCAGTGGGTCTGTTCTGGTTTTTCCCACAATGGGGAGCTGGAACCCACACATGGAGATAGAAAGAATATCCATGGCCGTAAACACCAGCATCTATGTAGCACACACTAAGGCTCACACGCAATGCTTCTTCAAAACCTGATGCTAAAAGGCAAAACAGGACTAGAGAAGAAGAAGAAGAAGAAGAAGAGATTATATCCATTACCTCTAAAACGCATTTTAGGTGACTAATTAGGCTTTTGCTGAAATTCAGATTAAAGATTAAAAAAAATTTTTTTTTTTTAAATTCACTGTCTAGTTTTCTTCTCTATTCTTCTATTACAACAACCTCCCCCTCATCTTGGTTGGCAGAGTGTTATGTGTTACCTGTTTTAAGACTTCATGGGATTGAGGTAGCCAACCTAAAGCCAAACCCTACCCTTAGTCACCTCTTACGACATGCTTGATAAGGTGCAGTGTTACTCTTCTTTGCTTCCCCTCAAGGCTGCAGTAACACCTGGTTTGTTCAACACCTGGTTTGTTCAACACCTGGTTTGTTCAACACCTGGTTTGTTCAACACCTGGTTTGTTCAACACCTGGTTTGTTCAACACCTGGTTTGTTCAACACCTGGTTTGTTCAACACCTGGTTTGTTCAACACCTGGTTTGTTCAACACCTGGTTTGTTCAACACCTGGTTTGTTTGGTTGGGGCTGTGGTAAATTGTCAGAGTTTGCATTACCAGGTTTTGAAAGCAAGTTTTTTTTTTTTTTAATTTTGGTTGCTCTAACATGGGATTCTGGGGCGCACTGCCCTCTAACAAGCATGTTATGATAGGCAGTTTATGAGATGTTTGCTGAAATTTGATGTTTCGTCCCCACGTGGGTTCCGGGGTCCCATTGTAGGGGAAACAAAGAATAGACCCACTGCCCCTCTAATATGAGTATCGTAAAAGTCAAATATTTAGAGGCGTTTTCTTTAGAGTCAGAAAGGCGAGAAACCGACAATCTGCATACAGATAAGCCAGGTCTGTAGAACTCAGAAGTGGCCAAAAAGCTAGAACTTTTGAAAGTTTACAGCTGGTGAACGCCTAGAAAAAAAAAAAAAAAAAGAAGGGGCAGATATCACAGCCTAGCTTTAAACCACAGCTACCCTTCTAAGGATGAACGCATAAGAAGAAGAATTTCTTTTGTTGGACAGCACTACGAATGACGGTGAAGATGCACAATAATATGCAACATTACTTCATTTTCGCCAGTGCTTGTTTCTGTATTTGCCGGTATTGATTCTTCTTCTTCTTTGCACTCACCGGCGGAAAGTCCTGGCTGTTTGTCCACCATCTGACTTTAGTCTTATTCTAGTACCCGAGTTGACTTTAGTCATATTCTAGAACCTGAGTTTTGCATGCACATCCGTTTAACAGATCTGACTTAATTGTATGCAGATTGTTGGTTCCATGCCTCTCAAGCAGAGATGCACTTGGACTTTGAAGGAAGCCCCCAATTAGTTGACTCCTATGGCATACTTCTTGGGAAGGCAGTGGGTCTGTTCTTGTTTTCCCCACAATGGAGCCCTGGAACTCGCAGGGGAATTCAGGATTGATTGTTCGATTACTTGTTTTTAAATTGGACAGCGAAGGACATTTTATATATGTCTACTACTTCTTCTTCTTCTTTTGCATTGGACCTCAAAAGGATGTTTGGAATGTTGAATTGTGGTTTACAGCAAGGCTGCAGTTTACAGCAAGGCTGCAATACCTGTGCCATTTGGCCCAACACATCCGATTTAAGCAGACTCTTAATTAGTCACATTTTATGACATGCATGTAGGGGATAGTGGGTCTGGTCTCCCCGTCCCCCCCAAAAAAGGCTCCGGAACCCACATGGGGCATTTTATACGATTTTCACTGGCGCAGAAATGGAGCAGTTAGGAGGTAACCTGTTTGCACTAAAGCTGACTAATTTTTTTCCTGCTTCATTTTCATGATCAGCATGTCATGGTGAGTTAAAATGAGTTTAGCCCAAGTTACATTTAAACTCTTGATGAGTTATGTTTCTTGTAGTCTTCTCTTGATGTTGATTAACTGTGATGATTTTCTGGTTGTGACAGGCCAAATCTGATAGAGAATCACCTGGCTCTGCTGCTGTCTGCCTGGTTCACAGCTGGACTGTGTGAGGTAGGCACTGATTGATTGTGTCTGATCGTGTCTGTTCTTATAGGTACACTAGTGATTGTGTCTGATGCACTAGTGATTGTGTCTGTTCTTGTAGGTGCAACCTGTTCTTGTGTCTGCTTGTAATGTGTCTAGATTGTGTCTGTTCTTATAGGTACACTAGTGATCGTGTCTGTTCTTGTAGGTACACTAGTGATTGTGTCTGATTGTGTCTGTTCTTATAGGTACACTAGTGATTGTGTCTGTTCTTGTAGGTGCACTAGTGATTGTGTCTGTTCTTGTAGGTGCACTAGTGATTGTGTCTGTTCTTGTAGGTGCACTTGTGATTGTGTCTATTCTTGTAGGTACACTAGTGATTGTGTCTGTTCTTGTAGGTGCACTAGTGATTGTGTCTGTTCTTGTAGGTACACTAGTGATTGTATCTGTTCTTGTAGGTTCACTAGTGTTTGTGTCTGATTGTGTCTGTTCTTGTAGGTGCACTAGTGATTGTGTCTGATTATACCTGTTCTGGTACTGCAGTAATAGTTGTGGCCGATTGTTGTGCCTGTTCTTTTACTATAGTAATAATTGTGTTAGATAGTCTGTTCTTGTACTACAAGTAATAATTGTGTCTCTTTTTGTGCTACAGTTATAATTGTGTCTGTTCTTGAACTACAGTAATATAATAACTATGTCTGTTCTTGTAATACAGCGATAATTGTGTCTGTTCTTGTAATACAATGATAACTATGTCTGTTCTTGTACTACAGTGATAACTGTCTGTTCTTGTACTACAGTGATAATTGTGTCTCATCGTGTCTGTTCTTGTACTACAGTGATAATTGTGTCTCATCATGTCTGTTCTTGTACTACAGTAATAATTGTGTCTGTTCTTGTACTAGAGTAATAAGTGTGTCTGTTCTTGTACTAGAGTAATAATTGTGTCTGTTCTTGTACTGCAGTAATAATTGTGTCTGTTCTTGTACTACATTAATAATTGTGCCTGTTCTGCAGTAATAATTGTGTCTGTTCTTGTAATACAGCGATAATTATGTCTGTTCTTGTAATACAATGATAACTATGTCTGTTCTTGTACTACAGTGATAATTGTGTCTCATCGTGTCTGTTCTTGTACTACAGTGATAATTGTGTCTCATCATGACTGTTCTTGTACTACAGTAATAATTGTGTCTGTTCTTGTAATAGATTAATAATTGTGTCTGTTCTTGTGCTAGAGTAATAATTGTGTCTGTTCTTGTACTAGAGTAATAATTGTGTCTGTTCTTGTACTAGAGTAATAATTGTGTCTGTTCTTGTACTGCAGTAATAATTGTGTTTGTTCTTGTAATACACTGATAACTATGTCTGTTCTTGTACTACAGTGATAACTATGTCTGTTCTTGTAGTACAATGATAACTATGTCTGTTCTTTTACTACAATGATAAATATGTCTGTTCTTTTACTACAGTGATAATTGTGTCTCATCATGTCTGTTCTTGTACTACAGTAATAATTGTGTCTGTTCTTGTACTACAATGATAACTATGTCTGTTCTTGTACTACAGTGATAATTGTGTCTCATCATGTCTGTTCTTGTACTACAGTAATAATTGTGTCTGTTCTTGTACTACAGTAATAATTGTGTCTGTTCTTGTAGTACAGTAATAATTGTGTCTGTTCTTGTACTACAGTAATAATTGTGTCTGTTCTTGTACTACAGTGATAATTGTGTCTGTTCTTGTACTACAGTAATTATTGTGTCTGTTCTTGTACTAGAGTAATTATTGTGTCTGTTCTTGTACTGCAGTAATAATTGTGTCTGTTCTTGTACTGCAGTAATAATTGTGTCTGTTCTTGTACTGCAGTAATAATTGTGTCTGTTCTTGTACAACAGTAATAATTGTGTCTGTTCTTGTACAACAGTAATAATTGTGTCTGTCCTTGTACAACAATAATAATTGATTCTGTTCTTCTACTGCAGTAATAATTGGGTGTGAAAGTGTCTGTTCTTGTACTACAGTAATAATTGTGACTGATCATGTTTGTTCTTGTACTACAGTAATAATTGTGTCTGTTCTTGTACTTTTCTTGTACATACACACAGCCAAAGGTCATGGGTTCAAATCTGAACAGCTAGATTTTTTTTTCTTCAAAAATTACCTTGGCTCCCAGGTTGACCCAGCCTAAAAAATGGTACTAAGTAGAGTCCTGGGAAGTAAAGGTGGCTGGCTTTATGTTGACCGCATCACACACGGAGTGTCGAATGGTCTGTTAAATATAAGTCTAGCACTGTTTGCCCTATATGTCTAAGGCCTGGAAGAGTGCCTTGTTTTACACCACTGACTGAATCTGTTCTCGTATGTTACCATACTGATTAATTATGCTTGTCCTTGTACATACGCAGTTGATTATGTCTATATATGTGTACTTGCAAGTACACTGATAATTTTACCAGATGATGATGTATTTTATGACTGTTATTTGTTAAATCATACATATGCTCAAGTTGTGTGACCAATGTTTGCAAATAGGCCCTGATTGAAGTGGTCATCACCAGCGACGGCGCCTTGTTTAACCGGGCTGTCCTTTTGCTTGGAGAGCTGCTTCACATGGTAACTTTTGTTTGTCAGTGATGAGCTGTAGAGTGGTCTTGATTGTTTTAGATAAAACATTGATGAATCATTCTGGTTTGAGAGCAATAAAAGATTGTGATGCCTCTGTTGTTCAGTTTGTGGGGCATGTTTATTATGTGCAAGTATGCTGGGGAAAAAAAAGGAAATGCATGGATGGCATGTGTTTATTATTTGATGCGAAAGCCCCTACATCTAAAAACTATTGAGGACCCAGATATGAAAAAAAATTCTGTCAATTGATTGGTTGAACCCTAAGGTATTTCTTGGTGTGCAATTTAAACAGGTTCACTCATAAAATTACAGAGATTTTGAATGTCAAAATTATGTTACTTCTAGTAGTTATGGTTTTTTTTTTTTTAGTAGTAAAGCAGCAATTGATAACTATGCTATTCTTTTATTTATTTATTTATTTATTTATTTTTTCAATAAAAAAAACACACAACAACTGGGATTGTATGCAGACGGGCACCTGCACACTGCAGGAACTAGTTAGTTAGTTAACATGAGCAAGTAATAGTTGGAGAACCACTAATAGACATGGAATGGCAGTTAAATGCATTCAAAACAAATTTGTAAGGATATTGAATTAAAGAAATGTAAAGAAGTAAGAGGAATGCCTGGACAATCGATGGTATCAGTAGTTTTAAGATAAAGAAGATAGTGATGTATGCACGACAGGACACATGCATGGTCGTGCATTCAGTTCTGTTCTTGTTCTAGTCCTTATCAGTGAGATGAGAAACCAGTTAGTTAACAGTAACCCCAGTTGCAGCTTGGGAAGAGGGAGAGTGAGGGAAAGAGGGGGAGGCTGGGATATCCTACGATTTTCATGAGTAACTGTTCACTTCCAGGCCATTGCCCTGCTCCCATCTGAGTGTATGCATCACCATGAATGTCTGCCAACCCTCATCTCCATCGCATCGTCCCCGGATGTCAACGAGGACCGGAGTCAGTAAGTCTGCTGAAAAATCATGATTTATCAGGCAATGCTGTGACAGTTATCTGACAGTTTTATAGTATTTAATTGATCTGACAGTGTTGTGACATTTATCTGATCTCAAAGTGTTGTAACTTTTATATGATATTGTTGTGACATTTATTGTGACATTTATATGACATTTATTATGACATTTATATGATAGTGTTGTGACATTTATCTGAGAATATTTGTGACATTTCTCTGACAGTGTTGCATCATTTCTCTAACAGTGCTGTGACACCTTTTTTGGCATGCACGTAGAAGATTTTTTGCTTATGTCAGTTATTAGAGGTTGTCATGTCGTAGCTATAAATTGTCTGACAGTTGGGGTATGTCTGCTTACAGCCGAGCCCACCAAGCAGTCACCTGCTTGACACGGTTTCACAAGATGATGAAGAGAGGGCGGAAACCCTGCACAGTGTTCCTCGACCAGCTGCTTCAGCACGCGGGCAAGATGCTGGAGGTCACCAGCAAACACTGGCACTTGCGGAGAGAGAAACTCTCGGAGTATTACTTCAAGAAGGTATCTACAGTGTTTTCCCAGAAGATAAAACCAGGTGTTATTGTAAATTGTGTTCCTTACAGCTTATTTTCCAGAGATGTAAATTTTTTTTAATTTGTGGTTTTAATTTACATATTAAAAAAAAAGGTCAGGTAGATACGTCTTCAGGTGTATTGGAAAATTAGGGCTAGACCTGTATTTTATAGACCGGACACTCAGTGGGTGATGTGGTCACCATCACACCGGCCACCTTTACTTCTGAGGACTATACCTGGTACCCATTTAAGGCAGGGTTGATCTGGAAGCCAAGGTCATTTTTGACAAAAGTCCGGCCCCTTCAGGATGGGAACCCACGGCCTTCTGATCCGCAGGCGAGCATCTAGCCATTACACTACGGCAGCTCCCAATTTACATATACTTAATTATAAATTCTATTATCATTCATTTAAAGCAGTAATGTGAATAATATTCTTCATTTAATTTATTAATACATTCGTTACTTTATAATTCAAAGCATCAACAAAAATATATCCACCTGGCTGATGATTTTGCGGTATCTCATATTTCGAGCATCATGACAAATTATGCTAGGGCTTATATTCATATCAGGCTAATTTTTTTTTGGGGGGGGAAACATTATAGTTGCTACATCTGTTAGCAGTTACTTATAGCAGATTCTCCATTGTTGCTTAATTGTTTAAACCCTTCTTCACCTATCAGATTTTGAAGCATTTAAAATTTGTTATACAGTAAAACTTTGTTAATAGAATTCTGGGGGGACTGAAAAATCAACTTTTTGTGGCCCCCCCCCCCCCCCCCCCCCCCCCCCCCCCCCCCGGCCACACACACACACATAATACAAACGCACACACCCGCCCATGTGTCCTAACCAGGGGCTAGTTATCCCTGCAGAGATGAAAATGTTATTCATGTTAACCAAGTGTTCGGCTTAAGTTTTAACAAGGTTTTAGTGTCTATCGATCAAAATTGATTTTATTGCATTAACAAAGATGATAAAAGATTGGTATGGTGTAATGTCTTCTGCATCTTCTCTAATATTTCTAATGCCTTGCCCTTGTTTGATTTCAGATTCCTTCGGATGACATGACCAACCAGGCGATCCGAGACTCACAGGTGAACACCACCAAGGCCAATTCAGAGTGGGATTGGTCAATTATTGCTGCAATCCTCAAGGTCAGTGATCATGTCAACTCTGGTTGCTGGGGACTAACTCTTTGAGCACTAAGCATGTTTAGTTGTAATGTGTCATAACGTCTCTTGTGTTTGGTGTACTCCTGATTATATAGATTAATGGTACAGTTGTATGACGTACTCCTGATGATATAAATTAATAGTACAGTTATATGACATATTCCTAATTATATAGATAAATGGTACAGTTGTATGACGTACTCCTGATGATATAGATTAATAGTACAGTTATATGACATATTCCTAATTATATAGATTAAGGGCACAGTTGTATGATGCATTCCAAATTATATAGATGAATGATACAGTTGTATGACATACTCCTAATTATATAGATTAATGGTACTGTTGTATAACGTATTCCTAATTATATAGATTAATGGTACAGTTGTATGATGTATTCTTAATTATATAGATTAATGGTACAGTTGTATGACGTATTCCTAATTATATAAATTAATGGTACAGTTATATGACATATGCCTAATTATATAAATTAATGGTACAGTTGTATGATGTTTTCCTAATTATGTAGATTAATGGTACAGTTGTATGACGTATTCCTAATTATATAGATTAATGGTACAGTTGTTTGACGTATTCCTAATTATATAGATTAATGGTACAGTTATATGACATATGCCTAATTATATAGATTAATGGTACAGTTGTAAGACGTATTCCTAATTATATAGATTAATGGTACAGTTGTATGACGTATTCCTAATTATATAGATTAATGGTACAGTTATATGACATATGCCTATTTATATAGATTAATGGTACAGTTGTATGATGTATTCCTAATTATATAGATTAATGGTACAGTTGTATGACGTATTCCTAATGATATAGATTAATGGTACAATTGTATGACGTATTCCTAATGATATAGATTAATGGTACAGTTGTAAGATGTATTCCTAATTATATAGATTAATGGTACAGTTGTAAGACGTATTCCTAATTATATAGATTAATGGTGCAGCCATTAAGACACATTCCTAATTATTTCTTATCCAGTCTTAACAATTGCAGCTTTGAGGTGGCTAGCTGTTAGCTGAGCCACCGGAGCAATCAAGGTGTCCTCTCCTGTTTTTTGTGTGTGCCCTTGAAATGGTGGAGGTACCATGTGGTTTACAGCTGGGTTGTGATATCTCTGCTCCCCCCGTCAGTTTTGATAAAAGCCACTTGATTCACAGGAAACCCCTAAATTCTGTTTTTAGTTAATATATTCATATACAAGACTCCAAAACGTTGCTCAGGGCAAAGAGAACTAATGGCATTTAACTACACGTTTCAAGAACAGGTCACTGCAGAAAAGATCCTTGCCCCCCTTAACAAGCACATCGTAAAGGGCAAATAATTCAGGGTTTGTAGAGTTTTGGTGTGTCAGGCAAAAAAATCCAGAGATATCGCAACCTAGCTGTAAACCACGTGGTACCACCACAATTTTAGGGGCACATAAAGAAGAAAAAGAAGACACCTTGATGGCTCTGTTGACTCAGGTAACAGCTAGTCACCTCAAAGCCGCTGATTATAAAGACTGGATTGGATGAGATAATGGTCAGTATAGAGAACTGTTTTTCTTACAGATTTATTGTAATGTTTCAGTGGCCAGATGAGAAGCTGAAGAAACTAGAAGACCAGAATCATCTCAGGTAAGCTTTCAAGTAGCATTTTATCTGTGGTTATTCATCTCAGGTAAGCTGACAGGGGCTTGGGCATCTCAGGTGAGTTGTCAGGTAGTTGGTCATCTCAGGTTCTTTTTCTGCGCCTCCATTGATTGTGTCAGGAGAACGATGATAGAGTTCCAGGGCCCCATTTTGGCAGTGGAAAGGTAGGGGTGGGGGTGAATAGACCCACTGAAACTAATTATGAATGTTGTCTTTGAAGTCGAAGTGCATCTGCCTGAGAGGCAAGGGACCAATCAATAGTATGTACACAAATAAGCCAGCTCTGTAAAATGGATGTTCCCGCAAAGCAAAACTCAAGTTCTGGATGGAACAAGACTAAAGTCTAGAAATGGACAAACAAGCAGAACTTTTTATCAGTTCACAGCTAGTGAATGAGAAAAAGAGGTATAGCAGTAAAGCTGTGGCATCATTGTTTATAACAATACACTCATATAGTTTGCAAAAAATGTTTGCAAAAAATGTTTATTACAGTTCATACTATTTATTATCATTTTACCAGTACTGTTTATACCAGTATAATTTATAACATTGTCATTTACCGAAGCTCCTGCAGTAATGTTAATTGCCATCGTGACTCCCATGATTCCTCTGTCATAGATTCATCAAACGACTGGTCTACTACTTCAAACCAGAGAACAACCTCTTCTCCAAAACTGATTTGGACCCAACCAGACGCAAGATTTGTATCGCCGGCTGCCATTTTGTTGATTTTCTTCTTTCCTCAACTTCTGTAAGCAATTGTTGATTTGTTGCTATTGTTTATTGGTTTACGTTTCCACTTACGGTTGTTTTGATGAATAGAAATACATTACAAGCAACATTAAAAAGAGCACCAATTCAGTCATTTGTGGTCTTTTCTTGTAAAGCTGATATTTATATCTCTGCGTATGTTCCAGGCCCCACTTTTGGGGGAGCAAAGAATAGACTCTTCTGCCCCCTAACAAGCATGTCCTAGGAGGTGACTAATTAGGGGCATTTCCTTTGATTTCACGGAGTGCATTTGCCTGACAGGTAAGGCACCAACAGTCTGCATATAAATAAGCCAGATCCCTGTATCGAATGTACCCACAGAACTCCTAGAACAAGACCATATTCCAGAAATAGATGAACAGCCAGAACTTTATATCGGAGTTTACCAGTGGTGAGCACATAGAAGAAGATATTTATAAATGTGAATGTTATTTTGTTATGCTTTGATGTGTACAACCTTGTTATGATAAATCTCCTTGTTATTTCCAGGACGAAGCAGACAAAATGATAACAGAACTTCTCAGCGACATTGCAGAGAATCTCAAAGAGGTCTGTATTGGTCATTGTGTGTTTGAGTGTGTATTTGTGTGCTTGTGTGCTGGCTTGCTTGAGTGATTGTATGTGTGGGGAAGATATGACCATAAATATAAATGCTGCGAACAGCTAGATGTAAAAAAATGTAATTCAGGTGATTAGTGCAGAGTTTTTCAAACTGTCGTGACACATTAGTATGTTGGTTGCAGTGTTCAGGTTTATCGTCACACATTAGCGTGCTGGCTGCAGTGTAAAGGTGTGTCGCACAAACATAAGCCATTAAACAGAATACTGAGCATGCAAGGCTGCACTTATTGAAGTTACTAAATTATTGTCATTTTTGTTACTCCTAAATTATAAAAGTGACGTTAATCTAGAAAATATAAATATTTTAATATAAATGAAAGGTCTTTATGAGATAGTTGTATAGTGAAACCTTTTGTTGTTACAAGTTATGTGTGTGTCTGCATTTGTTATACTGGGTTGTTTAACCTCTGCACTTATCAAAACATCACATTCACAATGGTTCAGATTTAATGTTCACAATTGTTCAAATTTTACGTTCACAGTTATGAAACTAACCTTTACAGTGTTCCAGACCTTACATTCACAGCTGATCCAAGTCTGATGTGCCCGTAGATAAAAATTCCACTTTTGGTGCTAATTGAATGCGTGATAAAGTGTGCTTTCACTATTTTATCTTCATTTACAATTCCATAACATTACTTTCACAATTGTCCAGATATATTCTTGATTGTCAAAACATTTCATTCACAGTTATCCAGATATTACATTCACATGTATTGAAATTTCATTTACAATTATCAAAACTTTACTTTTATACGTATCAAAGCAATTCATGTACCTTTGACCAAACATTACTTTAACAGTCATCCAAAGATTTTCCTTGGCAATTATCCGAAACATTACCTTCACAGCTGATCAGGTTTAATGTGCCTGTGGATGAAAATGCTACTTTCGGCTCCAAGCGGATGCATGACAAAGTGTGCCGGTACTACTTTCTCTTCATTGGCCAGTTTCTCAGCCACCAAGAAAGGCTGTGGCTATCTAGAAAAAACGGGCATCATTCAGACGTAAGTGTGGTGTGTGTGTGTGCGTGCGTGTGTGTGTGTGTGTGCACATGTGTGTGTGTGTGTGTATGCACACGTGCGTGTGTGTGTGTGCGTGCGGGAGGGGTGGGTGGTGTGTGTGTGTGTGTGTATATATATATATACTGTTAAAAAAAGAAAAAGGCATAATTATCTGATGGTATGTTTTTCTTAGTTGACGGGAAAGCCCATTCATGTTCCCATTGTGTGTGTTGGGGGGGGGGGAGAAATGTAAATCCTCTGCCACCTTACAAGCATGTTATATAAGTCAACTGAATAATGGTGTTTCCTTTGAAGTCACAGTGCATCTGCCTGAGAGGTGAGGAACCAACAGTCTGCATACAGATAAGCTAGATCTGTTTTAAAAATAAAATGCTCCCAGAAAACAAGTTTAGGAACAAGACCAAAGTCCACAGTTGGATAAGCAACAGGAACTTTGCACCAGTGTTTACAGCCAGTGAATAAGAAGAAGAAGAACAAGTGTTATAAATCATTTAACCCTGTAAAGGTCCGTTTTCCATGCTTTAGGCGTATAGGGCATATATATTTTTATAGACAAATCAGCGCAAGATGGGTAATGTGGTCAGCCTCATGCTGGCCGCCTTTACTTCCCGGGACTGCACCTAGTACCCACTCAAGACTGAGTTGACCTGGGAGATTTTACCATGTAGAGCTTCTAAAGTGTAGATTGGAACACCTGTGGATCTGTCCAGAGTCCTGTAGTGATACTCTTCACCAATAACCTGTGTGGGTTCCGGGGCTCTATTATAGGGAAAACAAGAATAGACCCACTGCCTCCCCAAAAGCATGTCGTAAGAGTCGACTAATTGGGAGCTTCCTTCAAAGTCGGAGTGCCCCTGCCTGAGAGGCAAGGAACCAGCAGTCTGCATACACATGAGTCAGATCCGCAAAACAGATGCACACGCAACACTCAGGTTCTGGAACAGGACTGCAGTTCAGAAGTGGATGAACAACCAGAACTTTCCGCCAGAGTATACAGCTGGTGAACACGAAGAAAAAGAAGACAACACAGTCATTTAATAGCTTTTGCCCCTTCCCCCCCCCCAATCTTGGAACTGTTTCTACCCATCTTGGAACTGTTTCTACCCATCTTGGAACTATTTCTACCCATCTTGGAACTGTTTTCTCCAGTTTCCTTGAGCTGATGTCCTCCTCGACCAGCCTCCTGTACGTCAAGCTGGTCATCTCCTGCTTGAACTACTCCCTGGATGGTTCTACCAGAGCTGTCTTGTCCAAGGCACTGACTGCCACACAGGATGTGAGTACCTGTGTGTGAATGCTTATGTATATGTGTACATAAGTGTATATGGGTGTGTGTGCATAAGTGTATGTGTGAGTTACATATAAATGTATGTATGTATGTTGTCTGTGTGCACGTATGTATGATTTGTGTGTTTATATCCATGCACTTATGAATGTACTTAGTAAAATGCTTAGTAAAAATAAGTATATATACATACACACACATGCACACACACGTACACATGTATATATGCATATGCAGACAACCTTCACATGTATATATGCACACACAGACAGACTTTCTCTCTCCCTATATATGTGTATGAGTGAGTACATATGTGTGTGTATGTGCACTTGCTTGTGAGTGTGTATCAATGTATAAATATATATATATATATATATGTGTGTGTTTGTATGCAGGCTTCTGCGTGTATATGCATAGAAATATGAGCGTACATGTGTGTTAGTGAATATAAATATATATACTTATAATAAATACACATGCATGCACACGCATACACACACACACACCCACACACACATGTATAAATGCACACTTATTCAACATGTACATGTATATGTGCACACGCAAACTTTCTTCATATGTCTGCATACGTGCGTGCATGTATGTTTGTGTGTGTGTGTGTGTATAAAATGTGTGTGTGCTTTTAACGCTTTTAAAAACAACCTAAAAATTAAGTAGTTAATGATAGCCTCAGCTACCATTCTGGTGTGTCTGGTCCAGGTTTGCCGACTGTACGCTACCAGACTGCTGCGGGTTCTGATGCGCGCCGGGACTCCAGGCTTCAGCCACTGGGGTGTGGAGCTGCTGGTGACTCAGCTGTACGATCCCGAAAAGAGTGTGTCCATGTCCGCCATCAGGATCCTGGATGAGGCTTGTGACAATGAGGTAGGTGCTGTCTAGTTTGGGGCCTTGGTCACTGAATCCTCAAAGAGTGTCCATGTCATAGTTCTTTCCCATGAGGGTGCAGGGCCCCGGTGTGGGGGAGGGGGGGGGGAACAATGATAGACCCACTGCCTCCCTAACAAGTATGTCATAAAAGATGTCTATTGAGGGGTTTCCTTTGAGGTCGGAGTGCATGTCTGCCTGAGAGGCAAGGAACCAACAGTCTGTTTACATATAAGACGGATCTGTAAAACGGATGTACATGCAAAACTCAATGTCTAGAACAAAACTAATGAATTTTCTGCCGGAGTTTGCAGCTGATAAATGCGAAGAAGTAAAAGAAGAAGATAGAAATGCTGGTGGCCAGGGTCTCTCTTCAAAAGTGGTTTCCCTTGACATTATAGAAATGGTTGTCTGGTTAGATATTGGCTGGTAAGTATTGGCTGTTTGTGCAGAGGTGGTTGAACTTCTGTGGACTGTTTGTACATGGTTTGGTTAACTGTTTGTGCTGTGTTTTGATGATCTTCTGCTGTTTGTATGTGTAATATTGAGATGAGCAGTTGGCCAAAGGGGAAGAAATGCTGGGCTGTCATCCCCAGATTACAATCTTTACTAAGATTATATATTTCTACTGGAGGCAAAAATTAAAATCATATCATACACAGTCCATGGCGACAGCACTAGCCAAAGACCCTGAATCCTCGGGGTGAAAGACACCCCCTGCTGTGTACACTACCATACGCCTTTTTTAAATCCACAAAAACATTATGTACTTCTCTTCTATATGCCCAGTTTTGCTCTGCTATTTGCCATAAAATAATTATCTGATCTGTTGTTGATCTGTTCTGTTAAAAACCCACTAGGTTATCTCCCAATTTGTCTTTGACACATGGTTTTAGCCTGTTTAACAGTACAGCCAATAGTATCTTGTAGATAATTATGATATTCCTCTATAATTTTTACACTTATACTTGTCTCCTTTCTTACAAATGGGTAAATAAAGACACTTTCCATTCACGGGGTAATTTCTCCGTCTTCCAAACAAGCTTTATTAATCCATATATCTTTAAATGTAATACATAACTACCTTTTTTTATAAGTTCAGCAGCAGTTTCATTAGCACCAGTTGCTTTATTATTTTTATGCCGTGTTATGACATACAGTGCTTCTTCAAAATCAGGCTCTTCAATATTTGGTTCACATGTTAGTATCTCTTTCTGTGGATAACTGCCTACACTGCAGAAGTGATAAATACAGAAAGTAGTATTTTGGCAGTATATAGATTATCTTGTGTTAACTGTTTAATGTTTGTATGACCTCCTGGTGACGGTTGTACTCGTACACTGTTTTATAAATGTTTGTGTAAATTGCTCATAGTGTAATGACACAAATTTGAGTGAGTTAGTTCCTTTTAATCACAGACAAAGATGCACAATTCAGGTGATGTTGTAGAAATTCTAAGTGTTTTTGATGTGTTACTGTCTGAATAAGTTGACTGTTTAGTGTTGATGACTGTCCTGACTCTGTTGTGTGTTTTTAAGGACAAGATGTTTCCAATCTGGTTTTAAATTGCTCAAGGGTTGTGTAGAAATGTAATGACACAAATTTGAGTGAGTGAACATTCCTTTTAATCACAGACAAAGATGCACAATTCAGGTGATGTTGTAGAAATTCTAATGTGTAATTTCATGGAGAATTGCCCAATCTAACACACAAATCGTCAGATGAATGAGTTCCTCTATTTATCAATTTTCCTTGGTCTATCCCTTTCCACTTGTTTCTTCTTCCGCCCTTTTTCTGTTCTGCCCCAGAATAAATCAATACGTCTCCACGTTTTGGAATTGCGTACACCTATCCCGCTATTTAATCTCTCTTGTCTATTCTCGTCACTTACACATAATCTGTCCTGTCTGAGTGTACGTGTAATAACCTCAATATTTATATCATATCCGTATTTAACCAGGCTGTCTGATACTGTTTGTGTACTGCAGAACAGGCATGTCAGACTGGCGGCCCACGGGCCATATGAGGCCCTATGCCAGCACACCTGTGCCCCCCCCTCTCCCACCTTAAAGGAAGTATCCTGCAATGTATCATCATCATCAGTTCTCTCTATGCCCTAGTGGCACATGAGGCTTCAGAGAGGACTTCCCATGCTCTCCTGTCCTGTGCAATCTTCAGTGCAGTTTTTTTCCATGTCATCCTGCAATGTATAATGTTTATTAAATGACTTCAATTAGTTGTCGTGTGACCCTCGTGGCGACAGTCATGTGACCCTCGTGGTGACAGTCATGTGACCCATGTAGCTCCCAGGTTTGACATGCCTGCTATAGAATATAGGTCTCGTCAATGACCTCATGTTGACTGTTTTTACACTGTTTGTTTGACTTTGTGTTGAATTTGTTGACTGTTTGGATGAACTGTGATTAAAGGTGTGCACAGTTGTTGGACGACATTATGTATCAGTATGTCTGTTCGTGACGCCACTTAGGATAACCTCAAGAATCTGATCAAGCTGCGGCCATCCCTGCTGCACCTGGGAGAGAAGGGGGACATGTTGCTGTGCCGGTTTGTCTCCACCATCAATGGCTTTCGTTCCCTCAACAACGCCAACTTTATACCTAGCCAGCTGCACAAGTGGCAACAGGTCTGTCTGTGTCAGCTGTTGATTTTGACAATCAAGGGTTTATCTTTAGTATCAGAATGGGTTGTTTAGAGTTGTTTTGTTTGGGATCAGATTCGCTTGTTTAGAGTTGTATTGTTGGGGTCAGATTAGATTGTTTAGAGTTGTATTGTTTGGGTCAGATTGGCTTGTTTAGAGTTGTATTGTTGGGGTCAGATTGGCTTGTTTAGAGTTGTATTGTTGGGGTCAGATTGGCTTGTTTAGAGTTGCATTGTTGGGGTCAGATTGGCTTGTTTAGAGTTGTTTTGTTTGGGATCAGATTGGCTTGTTTAGAGTTGTATTGTTGGGGTCAGATTAGCTTGTTTAGAGTTGCATTGTTGGGATCAGATTGGCTTTTTTAGAGGTGTATTGTTGGGGTCAGATTGGGTTGTTTAGAGTTGTATTGTTGGGGTCAGATTGGCTTGTTTAGAGTTGTTGTGTTGGGGGTCATATTGGGTTGTTTAGAGTTGTTTTGTTTGGGATCAGATTGGCTTGTTTAGAGTTGTATTGTTGGGGTCAGGTTAGGATGTTTAATTAAGTAAAAAAAGGGTCTTCTAACACATCACATCAGTGGTGCATTGGGCTTATAGGAAAATTTGATGTCAACCTGGCTTATAAAAAAAAAATCGTTTGACTAAAAGGAATCTCCCCCCCACCCATTGATTTTTAGACTAATCCATACCCCTTAAACATGTGTGCACTGGGCATGAGCACAGCCAATAGCATTAACTGTAGTCTCATAAACAGGTCTTCGTCTTCTTCTTCTTCACTTCCTCTTTTACCGCTGTGGGTGTCGAGGGAGATATAAGGTTCTGTTTCTAGCTCTTCTGGCTGCCTCGACCATAGGCACATCGTGCTGTTGTAGAGTTTCTCTGATGTTATCCTTCCATATTGTTCTTGGTCTACCCCGTGCTCTGCGTCCTTCTTCTCTTTCCATGTATGCTTTGTATGGTATGGTGTCACAAGGCATTCTCTCTAAGTGGGCAAACCATTTCACTTGCTGTCTCTGTATGTAATCCAGAATTGGTTCTGTGCCGACTTGTTCTCTTATGATCTCATTCCTGATCTTATCTCTTATGGTCACTCCTACAGCCCTTCTCAGACATCTCATTTCCGTGGTTACTAATTTTCTTTTATGGTTTGTTGTGAGTGACCATGTCTGGCACTGGTAGCACAGAATTGGAATAAATATGCTTTGAATAAGATGTCTCTTTGTGCTGATTGGGATTGTCTTATGCTGTAAGAGGGGGGCTAGCTGTCCCAATACTTGGTTTGCTTTACTGCATCTAATGTCAATTTCTTTATCCAATTTCCCATCTTCGGTAAACAGGTCGCTATAGACAAATCAGGAAAGTGACATTTATGGGGAATCGGCCCCCAACTGGAAGTATCAGTTGTGCAGCTCTTTATCGTGACAGGTGAAGGGGGAATGTTGCAGAAGAAGAAGAATCCTGTGATTGTTATTTTATTGTCTTTCAGACCATGAATGAACGCTATGTGGATATAGTAGAAGAAATGCTGAATGAAGCACTGATGTCATTTGAGAAGACCTATTCGGGCTCTTGTCCTCGTCGGTCCATTCTCAAGTAAGTTAGATCCTAGTTTATGTTTATTTGAATCTGTTTTGAACATCTTTGTGAACTTTGTCTCCACTTTAACATCTTTGTCTCCACTTTAACATCTTTGTCTCCACTTTAACATCTTTGTCTCCACTTTAACATCTTTGTGAACTTTGTCTCCACTTTAACATCTTTGTGAACTTTGTCTCTACTTTAACATCTTTGTGAACTTTGTCTCCACTTTAACATCTTTGTGAACTTTGTCTCTACTTTAACGTCTTTGTGAACTTCGTCTCCACTTTAACATCTTTGTAAACTTTGTCTCCACTTTAACATCTTTGTCTCCACTTTAACATCTTTGTCTCGACTTTAACATCTTTGTGAACTTTGTCTCCACTTTAACATCTTTGTGAACTTTGTCTCCACTTTAACATCTTTGTGAACTTTGTCTCCACTTTAACATCTTTGTGAACTTTGTCTCCACTTTAACATCTTTGTGAACTTTGTCTCCGCTTTAACATCTTTGTGAACTTTATCTCAGCTTTAACATCTTTGTGAACTTTGTCTCCGCTTTCTAATGTGTGAATTTGATCCTTGTTTCAATATGTGTTTTATCCTTGCTTCATAAAATGTGAATTTCATCTCCACTTGATAATATGTAAACATCAGCTCACTTCATAATGTGTGATTTTCATCCATGCATCATTGTATGTGTTTTATCTTTGTTTCATAATGTGAGAATTTAATCTTCTCTTCATAATTTGTGAACTTCATCTCCTCTTCATTATGTATGAATATCATCTCCTCTTCTTAATGAAGGAAGCTGAAGAATTTAAATATCTAAGAGGTATATTCTCAGGGAAAGGGAGAATAGATCAAGAAATAGAAACAAGATGCAAACAAGCCAGTGCACTTATATTTAAAAAAAAACTGACACTGAGATATCCCAACTTAAGTATGACTGTCAAGAAACATTATAAACAGTTTGTTAGGAAGCAGTGGGTCTATTCTCCCTTCCCCCTTCCCATTATTTCCCACAATGGAGCCATGGACAGGTGGAAGTATGACCACCAAGAAACAAACAATTTGTTAGGAAGCAGTGGGTCTATTCTCCCTTCCCCCTTCCCATTATTTCCCATAATGGAGCCATGGACAGGTGGAAGTATGACCACCAAGAAACAAACAATTTGTTAGGAAGCAGTTGGTCTATTCTCCCTTCCCCCTTTCCATTATTTCCCATAATGGAGCCATGGACAGGTGGAAGTATGACCACCAAGAAACAAACAATTTGTTAGGAAGCGGTTGGTCTATTCTCCCTTCCCCCTTCCCTCCTTTCCCATAATGTAGCCATGAACAGGTGGATAAATATTAGTATGACCACCAAGAAACAGATTATAAGCAGTATGTTAGGAAGCGGTTGGTCTATTCACCCTTCCCTCCTTTCCCATAATGTAGCCATGAACAGTTGGATAAATATAAGTATGACCACCAAGAAACAGATTATAAACAACATATTTATATCGACACTGCTACACACGCCAAACTTGGACATTATCAGAGGCTAACCTAAATAACAATAGCACCTGTGAAATGAGATGCAAAAAGAACATTGCTCATAGAGAAGTCTGGCGATCTCTCCGGCAAACTTTATGCACCAAGGCAGAAGAGGATCGACTAAGAAAGTAAATAAGTAATAAAGAGATGCCTGAGGAGAGCCTGCAACTTAACCTGTAGAGACAAAGTGAAATACTGGTCTATCAGACAGACTGTGGGAACAACGCCATGCACCAAATTCATTGAGATAACAGAAGATCAGAAGGTTTGGTCATCTCATCAGAATGCAGCTACAATAACTGCCAACACAGGCACTACACAGGAAAAGAACTATGTGAAAGCAAGAGGTGTTCCGTGGAGAAGATGGATTGATGACATTAAAGAGCTTCTACAATAACATGAAATAACACAGCAAACTGTTCCTTCCCACCCTGCTTATTGGCAAAAGTAGAAATTCGTGATGGTGATGTTATCACAGTCACTTCACTGTATACTGGGCATTCCTCACCCTCCTTAGTCCTCCGATTTAGCACCTGGGCCAGGGTACCTCTACTGACTATTTCCATGAGACGTTGGCTGTAATGTCTCATATCTTGACCTCACATGTGGCATAGAAATGCTTGTCCAGGCTTGAAAAAGTGGTTTTTGTTGGATGTTGTGATGCTAAATGAAGCACTGATGTCAATTCAGAAGATGTGTTCTGCTTCTTGTCAAAAGTGTTATGTTTTTGTTGGATCTATTATGTGGTATTTGAGTAGGTGTGGTGAGCTTATCCCTAAATCTTCTTCTTGTTCTTTGCATGTAAACTCTGGCGGAAAATTCTGCTTGTTCGTCCACATCTGGACTTAGGTCTTGTTCCAGAACCTGAGTTGCGGGCACATCCTGTTTTACAGATCTGACGTATCTGTATGCAGACTGTTGGCTCCTTGCCTCTCATGAAGATGCATTCTGACCTAGAAAAAAAGCTCCTAGTTAGTCACTCCTACAACATGCTTGTTGGGGCGGTAGTGGGTCTGTTCTTGTTTTCCCCCAAAATGGGGAACTGGAACCCACACGGGAAATCCCTAAATTATTTGTAAAATCATGACTATTGTTGACATCTTGAAGAAGATAGTTCACCATTGCTTTTCTTCTTGGCAGTGGCAATATTAGTTCAGTTACCATAACCATTGTCACTTAAGGGAGCACAGCCAAGCATGAGAAGCACACCTGACGCACACAAAGTCTTATCAACCAGCATAGGACTGGCACTATTAACTGCGCAACGCTAATGAAAATGTTGAAAGGGGAATCTGAGCACCTGTGGATGTGTCCGGAGTGCTGTGAAGATAATCCAACTCGTAACTCACTCAGGGAGAGTCTCTGCATACTGTAGGGGGAGTTTAAGACCATGACCTTCTGTCGCCTACTGCCAAAGTTCACTCCACAACCTGCTGCCACGGCTTAATGTTATCCTGATAGGAAGGCTAAACATTTAAAAGATAAATACCTGGATGGTTTGGCCAAATATAGATGGGGCAAGACAAGAACACTGGCCTGATCTGTGATTCTATATGGGAAATGGGAAACATGACAGCCTACACTTACTGACGCAGAACATGATGACAATGATGATGATGATGAAGATTTTTATTGCATCCCTACAGAGGCCCCAAGAAAGATGTCTATCTACCAGTTCACTTGTACGGTCAGCTGACGATGCATGATGAAGGCTTCCAACTTTTACATGGACAGGTAAATTTTTCTCTCTCCTCATCTGTATATTCTTACCTGTTCAGGTATTTGCAGTTCCAACTTTATTCAAATGGGCCGCTCCATAGCTGGTCCATTCCTGTACTAACAAAACCACTCAAGTGTCCATAACTTTCCTTTGTGGAAAAAAAATGGACACAGACTGCAGTCTTAGCTAGGCCAGTTCAGTAGTATACGCACTCACATTAAATGCATAAGGCAGCCATCAGAAGTGACAACACCAGCAGACCAACACTAGAAATGCAGTTTATCATCAATGGAAGCAGCAGTTCTAACAGATCAGTAGTTGCACATGCAGGTAATCACATAAGGCACCACCAATTCTCTGGCAACAGGCCACTGTACATTTTATGAATCTGCAGTTCTTCTTCTTCTTCTTCTTGTTCACCGGCTGTGAATTCCGGTGGTAAGTCGCGGTTGTTCGTCCAAATGGACTTTTGGCTTTTACCTCGACCTGAGTTTTGCGTGTACATCCGTTTTACTGTCTTATTTGTTTGCAGTCCTTGTTCCCTGCCTCACCAGCAGATGTACTCCGACTTCGAGGGAAGACGTCACGCCTATTTCTAGGTTGACTGTGGCCATTGTTTTGTGTGGGTCGAGATGTTGCCTCATTTGTGTGGTGTCCTCTTTGACCTTTAACAGGTGTGGCCCCCGGAAAATCCTCCTAAGGCAGCCCTAGGTAGAATTGTCAGCCCTTTGGGAAGGCAGGGGCAGATCATGGGCATTCCCCGCCATCCAAGGAGGCTTCCATAAATGCAGAGCCGACACATGATGCTCTGGTTCTGGGCTCACCCTAGGAATCGTCACGTCCTGCCCATGACTGCTTAACCTCACAACCGTGTATTGAGCTTCCCGTGCTACAATCCTGCGCTCTCCGGAGATCAGCGGGGAGTAGCCTGCAGGTCTAGGACGTTTGTGGCCACACAAATGGGTACATTCTTTTTTCATCATACGTTAGACACCTTTAACGTTGTTTTAACTGTGCCCTTAGCACGACAGAATGGGGAAGCAACATGCGTCAGGCGTGGCTTCGCCTGTTCGGTCCCAATACTCGGTCGAGTGGGACCAGTGGATTCGGACATTTGGACTTTTTTCTAATCGGTACGATTTATGATCGTCGGACTTTGAGCTTGCATGTGTGCCGTAGGATTTAACTTTGTCAGACATTATTCCCTAGCCAGCAGATGAAAAGTTGCTGTCATGGTGTACCTCAGCGCGGTGACGCCGACGCTGAGGATTGACAGAGGATGTACGTAAGTAGGATCTTGCTGCGATAATTCACCCACAAGAGATGTTACCCGTCTTGGCTGCGGGTAAATCTCTCGGTCAAGGGTTGAGTCTCAGCAGCACAGTTTTCCCTTCGCTCCAGACTTTTAACCGAGAGTTGTCATTTGATGGTACATTTGGCAAGCAATCCTTACTCATGTTCCGAATGAGTTTTGATAGACTTTTTACCCATGCGTTTGGGGGCGGGCTGATGAGAGCCAGAAAGGACACTACACCTCTAGGGGCCGCCAGCTCCGAGATCCCCTGCCAACTCTGTTAATGCTCATTTGAGACACTATCCGTGGCGCACGACTGGGACGTGCAGCAGGAGTCTTGCATGAGGTTCCGTAAAACCAGAACAGTGAAGGACTGGCGCCCGAGTGGGGTACGGAATATCTCCTTATACACATCACATCAGACTTAACTTCCCCTCATGCCTGTGACCGAAATCACTGCGCCACGAATCTGCAGTTCATAACACAAACCACATTGGGCACAGGCAGAACACATTCTAAACAAAATCCGCAGCTCACAGTGTTCAGCAGCTGGGTGATGGAACTATATAATTTCAGTCTACGTATGTTGGAAAATGCTATGGCTAACAATTATCAGAAGCAAAAACTTACCACTAATAAATACAGTAAACCCTGCCTATCTGCCATATTGACAGGAAGTTTGTCTCCTCATCTGTTTACCTCTCTTAACATTATTACTCACTAAAATAGACAGAAATTGTTAACACTTTTCAGATTTCCATTTCTTTGTCTATGTCTTCCTGTCATTATTCCTATGTTCTGTCATGCACCATCAGTTATCTCTCCAGTCACTATTCCTTTTGTGCATCATCCATTATCTTCCTATGTTCTACCAAGCACCATCAGTTATCTCTCCAGGCACTTCCTTTGTTCTTCTGTGCACCATTATCTCTCTTGCCTATATTGCCATGCCTTTCTGTGCACCGTTATTTCTCTTGCCTATATTCCCATATTTTTCTGTGCACCATTATCTCTCTTGCCTATATTCCCATGTTTTTCTGTGCACCATTATCTCTCTTGTCTATATTCCCATGTTTTTCTGTGCACCGTTATCTCTCTTGTCTATATTCCCATGTTTTTCTGTGCACCATTATCTCTCTTGTCTATATTCCCATGTTTTTCTGTGCACCCTCCTAAACTGAATATTTGAATGTGTTCCAACTTGCAGGAGTGCATCAAGGAGTATTTCAGTTGTATACAGAACCAGAACCTTCTCAACAACAGTGATATTCGCAAACTTAAGACAGCATTGTGGGCCGTGGTGGGTACTTGTGTGTGTGTGTGTGTGTGTGTGCACATGCATGTGTGTGTCTCTCTGTCCTCCTCTGTCTCTCTCTGTCTCTCTCTCTGTCTGTCTGTCTGTCTCTCTCTCTCTCTCTCTCTCTCTCTCTCTCTCTCTCTCTCTCTCTCTCTCTCTCTCTCTCTCTCTCTCTCTCTGACTCTCTCTCTAGTCACTGTTTAGTTGTAAAGCAGCATCTTTGTCAGATGCCACTCTTTTTAATTAACACAGGTGGTTATAGGACATTTGTCAGACCTCACACACTTCTTGTTGATGCACAGATGGTTACAGGAAATGTATCATACCACACCCTGCTCCCACATGTACAACAAATTTAAGATTGGCAAATCAGCCATGTGTACTTGTGGACTGGCACCTGAAACAACAGATCACATCCTTCAAGACTGTCCCAGATTCAACGCTTTCAGGCAAAACCTTTGGCCAAAAGAGACACTTGTGGAAGTCAAACTTTACGGGCCGCTTAGTGAATTACAAAAGACAGTGAAATTCATACTAGAGACAGCTTTGCAGATATAGACAATTTATTTCATGCGAACGAAAGAAGAAGAAGAAGAAAACCACACCCTCTTATTAATACACAGGTGGTTACAGAACAATTGTCAGACTCCCACACACTTCTTGTTGATGCACAGATGGTTACAGGAAATGTATCATACCACACCCTCTTATTAATTCACAGGTGGTTACAGGAAATGTATCATACCACAGGTGGTTATAGGACAATTGTAAGACTCCCACACACTTCTTGTTGATGCACAGATGGTTACAGGAAATGTATCATACCACACCCTCTTATTAATATACAGGTGGTTATAGGACAATTGTCAGACTCCCACACACTTCTTGTTGATGCACAGATGGTTACAGGATATGTATCATACCACACCCTCTGATTAATTCACAGATGGTTACAAGAAATGTATCATACCACACCCTCTTATTAATACACAGGTGGTTATAGGAAATGTATCATACCACACCCTCTTATTAATACACAGGTGGTTACAGGAAATGTATCATACCACACCCTCTTATTAATACACAGGTGGTTATAGGAAATATATCATACCACACCCTCTTATTAATACACAGGTGGTTATAGGAAATGTATCATACCACACCCTCTTATTAATACACAGGTGGTTACAGGAAATGTATTATACCACACCCTCTTATTAATACACAGGTGGTTACAGGAAATGTATCATACCACACCCTCTTATTAATACACAGGTGGTTATAGGACAATTGTCAGACCACTCACTTCTTATTAATACAGAGACTGTCAAAAATGCAAATTATTTGTAGAGAAGTAGGGAGGAAGAGAGGTAAGGGAAAACTAAATTCTACTACTGCATCCATGTGCTAAGAGTTGTCCCCACCTAAACTGTCAGTGATTGTCCCCAGGGTCACATTGGTCTCTCCGTGGACGGCCTTGTCTGGCTGGAGCAGGAGCATGTGGTGCCAGAGATGATCAGACTGGCCGAAGAGTGCAGCGTCTTCTCTGTCAGAGGGTAATGTCTCCAGTCTCATGTGGTCACGTTTTTGTATCTCTGCTACTGTTTTTTTTTTCTCCCTCAGCACTTCTGTTCTTTTGATCTGCTTTCCTGTTGTTTCTGTTTCCCTGCTACTGTTCGTGTTATTCCTGCTACTCTCTTATCCCTGCTCCTGTTTCTGTTATTCCTGCTACTGTTTTTATTATCCTTGCTACTGTTTCTGTTATTCCTGCTACTGTTTCAGTTATTCCTGCTACTGTTTCAGTTATTCCTGCTACTGCTTCTGTTATTACTGCTACTGCTTCTGTTATTCCTGCTACTGTTTCTGTTATTCCTGCTACTGTTTCTGTTATTCCTGCTACTGTTTCTGTTATCCCTGCTACTGTTTCTGTTATTCCTGCTACTGTTTCTGTTATTCCTGCTACTGTTTCTGTTATTCCTGCTACTGTTTCTGTTATTCCTACTACTGTTTCTATTATTCCTGCTACTGTTTCTGTTATTCCTGCTACTGTTTCTGTTATCTCTGCTACTTTTTCTGTTATTCCTGCTACTTTTTCTGTTATTCCTGCTACTTTTTCTATTATTCCTGATACTGTTTCTGTTATTCCTGCTACTTTTTCTATTATTCCTGCTACTGTTTCTTTTATTCCTGCTACTTTTTCTATTATTCCTACTACTGTTTCTGTTATTCCTGCTACTGTTTCTGTTATTCCTGCTACAGTTATCTCTGCTACTGTTTCTGTTATTCCTGCTACTGTTTCTGTTATTCCTGCTACTTTTTCTGTTATCCCTGCTACTGTTTCTGTTATTCCTGCTACTCTCTTATCCGCAGAGACCTACTAGTGGCCCACAGATCATTGCCAGTTATATTAATGATCGATTCTAGCGGCGTCCGTGGCTTTGGCTTTGCGAGTCCGACTCGTAATTCCAATGTACCGCAATTGAGACCCACTGCTGGCTGAGTGGATTTTTATTATGGTATGGGGCTTCACAGGTTAACTCAGCCTAAAATGGGTACCAGGATGTACATCCTGGGGAAGTGAAGATGTCCGGCCTAATGCTGACCACAATACCCACCTAGTGCTAATTTATCTGTAAAAATATAGGTGCACTTCCTATTTGCCCCAAACACCTAAATGTGTGAAAAGGGATCTTTGCTTTTTACTTTCTATTCTAGGTCTTGTGCCACTGGCCAGTGACGATCCCCAATTTTACCATTTTGGCCCATGCATAAACTTAGTTAAAAAGCCTTGATATAAAGTTTACTGTTGACATTCACATTTATATCTGAGAAATTTGTTTGGTTGAATCCTAACCTTGTATTGTTTTGTTTATGCCCTTTGACAAACCAGCACTTCCTTTTTTGTACTGGGACTGATTGCCAGCACCCGCAGGGGAACAGATATACTTTGTGAGCTGGGGTGGGAGTCCAGGTGTCACACCAGAAAGGTAATATCAGTTTGTCTCATCTGCCACCTGGGGCAACTCACCTGTAGTCATTAGGGGGATTCCATGGTTCTCCTGTAAAATCATTAGCAGAGGGAGATGTGTATGATACTGAGAATCTATTGAGCTGGAAATGTAGGTAAACTCATTGGGGCTGTGATATTTGCTTCATTCACCAAATGTGTGGAATGAACATGGATAGATTGAGACCGACATACAGACAGACAGGTAGATAGATGGATGGATGGATGGGAAGAGAGAGAGACAGAGCATGTGTATTACTACACACAAAAGATTTAGCAGAAACAAATAGATATGTTTGAAAAATGCAAATATTTTGAATGTATTCTAACAAAATACCAGCAAAAGGCAAAGCTCTTTAAAGACAGAAAGATATAACCATGAGAGGAAAAGATAAATTATGCACTTGTAAATATGAGGGGAAGTCAGTAAGTCACAAAGGATTTTGGAATGGCAGGAAAATGTGGTTTTTCTTTCTAAAGGTGTCATTGAGTGACAGCAACATCGCACTTTATGTCTCAGTTCATTAGGCCTCGCTAGGTGTTGCATGCGCATTTGCAACACAGAAACAAATTGGCGACTACTTTTTGAGGCAAAAGGGCTGCCTGCAAAGGACATTCATAAGGAAATGCTTCCTGTTTATGCTGACAAATATTTATCAAGTAAAGCCGTGCATAGTAAAACAAATTTTCTCAGGCACGCTCTAAAATTATTAATGAAGTCCTGGTTGTCCTGTTGAGATTGCAACAGATGCATCCGTGCAGGTTATGCTGACAGTGTTCTGGGATTGTCAAGGAGTGCTTTTAACCAGTTAGTGGTGACAATGGGATTGTCAAGGAGTGCTTTTAACCAGTTAGTGGTGACAATGGGATTGTCAAGGAGTGCTTTTAACCAGTTAGTGGTGACAATGGGATTGTCAAGGAGTGCTTTTAACCAGTTAGTGGTGACAATGGGATTGTCAAGGAGTGCTTTTAACCAGTTAGTGGTGACAATGGGATTGTCAAGGAGTGCTTTTAACCAGTTAGTGGTGACAATGGGATTGTCAAGGAGTGTTTTTAACCAGTTAGTGGTGACAATGGGATTGTCAAGGAGTGCTTTTAACCAGTTAGTGGTGACAATGGGATTGTCAAGGAGTGCTTTTAACCAGTTAGTGGTGACAATGGGATTGTCAAGGAGTGCTTTTAACCAGTTAGTGGTGACAATGGGATTGTCAAGGAGTGTTTTTAACCAGTTAGTGGTGACAATGGGATTGTCAAGGAGTGCTTTTAACCAGTTAGTGGTGACAATGGGAACTTCTAGAACATTCACTTTACAGCCCCGACTTAGCCCCTAGTGATTTCCACTTTTTTGGTCCACTGCAAACTCGCCTTGGCAAGAGATGTTTCGTGTTTGACACAGAAGTTGAATGTGAAGTGAAAATATGGTTTAAAAAAAAGAGCACACAATTCTGTGCAGCAGGTTTAGACTGACAAAACGATTGGACAAGTGCATCAATGTTGGTGGGCATTTTGTTAAAAAATTAATGGGACTGTATGTGTAAAAATTAGCTGTTTTTAAAGTTATCATTTTAAATTTTTTTTTTATATTTTATTTTTAAGCAACCATTTTTGACTTCTCATATATCTATATGAGTTAGGCAGATAAGTGTGGGAAATTCATTTTTTAGAGTGACTGATTTTTACTTTGTTTGATAGGAAGTTTTCCCAGTACTGGACGAAGATGGGTGGATCCAGGGACCCATGGAGGAAGCCTTACTGTTGAGTGATCGTATGGCAGCAGCCAGTATTCATGGAGAGGGCAATCGTCTGTCTCCCGGCAGCATGGGTCTGTCCCTCATACAGGAGGAAAGCCTCCTGCGCTCTGGCAGCTCCAGCTCCAAGCCATCCAGTCAGTCCACGTTGAGAGCATCCATGTCTTCCATCCAGTCGGCCAGAGAGCCCCTGATGAAACATTCCATCACCCCTGCACACAGCTACCACCATGTTCCTCCCTACACCTCCCCTCCCAATCTGACTGTGCCTAGTTTTGTGCGCAGCCAGACACTGACTGATGACACTGAAGACTTCCGGTCATTTCGTCACTCGATGCACTCCAGGACCAGATCTGAGAAAGCTATCACTAGAAAAACCAGTGACTTTCGACCCCGGGCTTTGACCGGAGACAAGACAACACTGCCTCCGGCCCCGCCAGTGTCAGTTGTTAAAGCCGACTCAGTGCCAGTCAACATAGACTCTATCAAGTTAGTAGTTGACAGAGCGGGTACTGATTCAGGTTTAGACAGAAGAGCATCCAGAGATTCTATCACCTTAGTGGCATCTCCAGTTGTTAAACTCAGGACTAGCTCCGATGAGGACTCGGCCATCATTTCGGATAACTATGACCCACAAGCAGAGAGTAGGAATAGAGTTATCAATTTAGACACAGCAAAAAACCCTGGCAAAGCCAGCTCAGAGCCTGCGATAGAAGAAGCTACACATTCCGTAGAAGATAATGTTGGGGCCACACTCAGAAATCATCAAAGTTCACACTATTGGGCATCAAACGAAAGCTCCCCAAAGGATAAGAGCGGAAATGGAGATGTGGTCAGTTTCAAAGTTGGGGAGTTGTATACTCCGGCTAGTAACCAGAGCAGTGGCAGCGACAGCTCCAACCCCAGCAAGAGCCGTGGAGGTAGTTTCTACACAACTGACTCTAGTGGGGTGGGTTCCTGTGATTCGAACACAGTTCTGGTAACATCTTCAGCTATAGCCAACGCCCTCAGTCCCATCGCCAGTTCGGCGTCTCTGTCAACCCTGACCACAAATGTATCATCCTCCAACCTCCTCCAAGGAACGGAACAAACTAAAGAACCAGTTCATCATTCTGCATTACAGCGGAGTCTCTTCAGACTTACTCGTATTCCCAGTGCCAAAAGGCGCTCAGCTTCCCCAGCTCTAGGGATTACAGCCAACGGGGGTCAGTCTTTCACATCACAACGTGATGCTATTGGCTATGCAGCTTTAAGAACTATCAAACGACAACGAACATACAGTGCAGAAACTGAAGGGGATTCCGTTTCTCATTTAGAGGCTCCTATGCTCCACCGAACCACCAGTCAAGATTCAGAACTTAGTGTGGACAGTAATGTATGGTTAAGGTGAGGTCTTTACTTTGTGTCGTCACTACCAGTACTTACCTTCTTTTTTTGCTTCTCTGTCACTGTTTCACCTTACTTCTTCTTCTTCTTCTTTCATTCTCTTGAAATAGATTATCTGTATCTGCAGTGTTGACCTTATTATCATTGCAAATCTTTTCACTGAGGCAGGGCTGGCCAGGCTGTTAGTAGGAACACTGAGATTTCATTTGGGAGATCCAGGATCATCAGAGTGGTGCATTTTTTTCTGTTGGGGGCACGAATAAAATCTTGCACTCGCCAATAGGTCCTAAGTTCCCAGACTCAACAACCCTCCCCCCACCCTTTCAGGCAGCAGTGACAATATATTTGGCTGATGGTTATTCATACCAAAGCAGGCCGGCTGGTCAGATGGCTAGAACACTGAGCTCTCAAGCAGGAGAACCAGGTTTTAATTCTAGATTGGTTTTTTTTCTATCGGGGGCAAAAGTAAAATCCTAACCTGCACAGTCCGTGGCAACAGCACTAGCCATGCGGCCCTAAATCCTCTTGCTTGAAGACTCTCCTGCCTACAGCTCAATATTTGTAAATCTAGACAGTGGTGCCAGTTATTAGCACTCCATACCCAGTAGGGATCCTAATTTCATTATAGCAAAAAAGGTTCACGGTTTTGGCAAATCCTTTATGTAAAGCAAACAATTGAATAGAAGTCATCAATCAAGAATGTTCTCATTGTCCATGAAGATGTGGCTCTTGAGTCAGATGGTAAGCATAGTCCTGTAGAAGTAGATGGTGGGGAAACTAACTGTAGAGGTTATACTGTAGAAGTAGATGTTGGGGAACTAACTGTAGAGGTGGTCCTGTAGAAGTAGATAGTGGGGAACCAGCTGTAGCATTAGTCCTGTAGAAGTAGATGGTATGGAACTTACTGTAGAGGTGGTCCTATAGAAGTAGATGGTTTGGAACTAACTGTAGAGGTGGTCCTGTAGAAGTAGATGTTGGGGAACTAACTGTAGAGGTGGTCCTGTAGAAGTAGAGAAGTAGAACTAGTAGGGGAAGAAGTAGATGGTGTAGAGCATTAGAGTCCTATAGAAGTAGATGTATGGAACTTACTGTAGAGGTGGTCCTATAGAAGTAGATGGTTTGGAACTAACTGTAGAGGTGGTCCTGTAGAAGTAGAGGATGTAGAACTAACTGTAGAGATGGTCCTATAGAAGTAGATGGTGTAGAACTAAATGTAGAGGTGTTCCTATAGAAGTAGAGGATGTAGAACTAACTGTCAAGGTGGTCCTATAGAAGTAGATGGTGTAGAACCAACTGTAGAGGTGTTCCTATAGAAGTAGAGGATGTAGAACTAACTGTAGAGGTGGTCCTGTAGAAGTAGATGGTGTAAAACTAACTGTAGAGATGGTCCTGTAGAAGTAGAGGATGTAGAACTAACTGTAGAGGTGGTCCTATAGAAGTAGAGGATGTAGAACCAACTGTAGAGGTGGTCTTATAGAAGTAGATGGTGTAGAACTAACTGTAGAGATGATCCTATAGAAGTTGATGGTGTAGAACTAACTGTAGAGGTGGTCCTATAGAAGTAGATGGTATGGAACTAACTGTAGAGGTGGTCCTATAGAAGTAGATAGTGTAGAACCAACTGTAGAGGTGGTCCTATAGAAGTAGATGGTGTGGAACCAACTGTAGAGGTGGTCCTATAGAAGTAGATGGTGTAGAACTTACTGTAGAGGTGGTCCTATAGAAGTAGATGGTGTAGAACTTAACTGTAGAGGTGGTCCTATAGAAGTAGATGGTGTAGAACTAACTAATTGTAGAGGTGGTCCTATAGAAGTAGATGTTGTGGAACTACTGTAGAGATGGTCCTGTAGAAGTAGATGTTGTGGATCTACTGTAGAGATGGTCATATAGAAGTAGAAGGTGTGAAACCAGTTGACATGGTTATATCTTACTGACATGGCTATATATTACTGACATTGTTAAATCTTACTGATATGATTACTTTGCACACCTGATATAAGTGAGATGTAGCTTGTATCTTTCGTCCTTCTTTGTGCAGCATGAGGCGAAATGTCAGCAGTGTGTCCTTGCAGGACCAGGACCTGCCGTCCTCACCCGTCTCCCTCAACAGAGCCGCCTTTAAACCCCTGTCTCCTAGCAACCGCTTTGTTGGTATCACCCTTCCAATTGACATCAAAATGATATTTGAAGTAAGTATGGCTGCTTTCTGTCGTTTTGTCAGTTACCTGTGTTTTTCTAAGACATATTGTGGACCTGTTTACGTTTCCCGGCCCATCTACAAATTTTTCAGTCTGATCTTGGTCAGAGGGTTATCACATTGTACTGCTTTCTTCGAAAAGAGTCTCTCGTGTGACCTAGGCTCAGGCAGTGGGTAGGGGGGGTTTGGGTTAGGGTCAGTTCTAGATGTTCTGGGGTCATTGAATGCTGTGTCATCATGTAGTATGGAACACGCGATATCGGCGCGGATGTAATTTTAGGCAAGCCAAAGTGACAACCCTCTGACGTTGAAGAGTCTGAGAAAGTATGAATGAAAGGTCAGACAGTGTGTAGATGGGCTGGGAAACTGTAAACATGACCAAGTCATTTGCTCTGTGGGTTCATTGACCCCTTTATTTTGGACAAAAAATGAATAGATCCACTGCTTCCTAACAAGCATATTGTAAAATTCAACAGAATAATGGTGCTTATCTGGCTGAATGGATGTGGAAGAACCAACAGTCTGCATTGCTTTTAAGCCAGATCTGTAAAACAAATGTGCATGCACAGCTCAAGTTCTAGAACAAGAGCAGAGTCCAGAAGTGGACAAACAACCAGAACTTTCTGGCAGAGTTAACAGCCGGTGAACGTTAACAATAATAAGATGATGGCGAATGATCAGGGGATCAAGCTGTGAGCCTTGCAGTCTGAAAGTCGTGTGTCATTCAGTTCACGGGGCGCAGTTTGTATGGAGAACCTGGGGGGATTGTTGCCAGAGCTACAGAATTATGCTCTGTGCGATGCTCTTATAAGGGATCTAGCTATTCTGTGAAGAGAGAGAGAGATCAAGTCTCATGTGATAGAACTTACGTGCATCTGTAAGTTGTCTTCTCTCATTCACTCACCTTTAGGCATGTCTGATGTGCTATGTCCTGTCAGTCTAGTATTGTTATCACTTCATTCATTTTTCATTGCCACTTTTCCATCCTTTCAGACAGTAGTGTTAAATTGTGTTAAAGAGAAGAATGGGTAAAGTAAAAAGTGAAGGACCCTTTTCCACGCCTTTAGGCGTATTGGGCATATAGGGCTAGACCTTTTTTTTATAGCTCAGTCGGCACTTGGTGGGTGATGTGGTCAACATCACGCTGACCGCCTTTACTTTCCCAAGAGTAATGAAGATCATAGATGTAGTTCCTGCACTTCACAGCACAAAGCCTGGGCAGTATTGTAGGGACCACCTGTTGCCCATGCAGCATAATCTCTCTCAGCCTGCCTTGTTTACTCCAAAGGATAGGTAACACCAATATGTTTGGAATAAAGAACTCTGCAGAAGCTGCCAGATCAGAAGGGCAATGCTCTCCAGGCTAAGACCTGGTCTGCCCAGCCATAAAATTAAGTTTTCATGTTGAACTTCCTTGTCCTAGGACAGGGCTGTTCAACTGGGTTTACTCTAGGGCCAAAATGTTCAAAATGGGGATCGTCGTAGGCTAGAAGCCCGGAGCCCTAGTGTAGCAGCGATCCATAGGCCACATGTCTCTTCTGGCCGGATTTGGTCTGCAGGCAGCTAGTTTAATATCTTTTTTCCTTCTAATCCATTTTTTTTCCTTCTCATCCATTTTTTTTTTTTTCCCTTCTCATCCATCCTTTTTACTTCTCTTCCATCTGTTTTTCCTTCTCATCCATCTTTTTTTTTTTCCCCTTCTCATCCATCCTTTTTACTTCTCTTCCATCTGTTTTTCCTTCTCATCCATCTTGTTTCCCTTCTCATCCATCTGTTTTTCCTTCTCATCCATCCTTTTTCCTTCTCTTTCATCTGTTTTGGTTTCTCATCCATCTATTTTCCCTTCTCATCCATCTTTTTTCCTTTTCATCCATCTGTTTTTCCTTATCCATCTTCTTTTTCCTTTTCATCCAACTTTTTCCTTCTCATCCATCTTTTTTTTTCTCATCCTTTTCCTTCTCATCCATCTTTTTCCTTCTCATCCATCTTTTTTCCTTCTCATCCATATTTTTTCCTTCTCATCTATCTTTTTCCCTTCTCATCTATCTTTTTCCCTCTCATCCATCTTTTTTCCTTCTCATGCATTGTTTTTCCTTCTCATCCATCCTTTTCCTTCTCATCCCTTTTCCTTCTCATTCATCCTTTTCCTTCTCATCCATCTTTTTTCTTCTCATCCCTTTTCCTTCTCATCCATCCTTTTCCTTCTCATCCATCTTTTTTCTTCTCATCCTTTTTCCTTATCATCCATCTTTTTCCTTCTCATCCATTTTTTTTCCTTCTCATCCATTTTTTTTCCTTCTCCATCTTTGTTTGTTCGACAACCTGTCACATTGTGCTCTGGGTTTGTCCTTCAGGTGGTAGAAGGTGAGGACAGGAGAACGTCACATGCTCTACCTCCGACAGTAAACCTGGAGTCTGACAACTTTGTTCCAGTCGCTAAACCTACAGGTCAGTACATCTGGGTCATCTGTTGGTTTATATGACATCTCTGTGTTTGTATGACATCTCTGTGTTTGTATGACATCTCTGTTCTCCTACGCTTGTGTGTCTCTGTGTTTATACATCTCATCTCTATATTTGTTTGTATCTGTGTTTGTACATCTCTGTGTTTGTACATCTCTATGTTTGTGTACATCTCTGTGTTTGTACATCTCTGTTTGTACGTCTCTGTGTTTGTACATCTCTGTTTGTATGTCTCTGTGTTTGTACATCTCTGTTTGTACGTCTCTGTGTTTGTACATCTCTGTTTGTACGTCTCTGTGTTTGTACATCTCTGTGTTTGTACATCTCTCTGTTTGTACGTCTCTGTATTTGTACTTCTCAGGGTTTTGTGTGTCTCTGTGTTTGTCCATATCTGTGTTTGTACATCTCTTGTAGGTTGTACATCTCTATGTTTGAACATCTCTGTGTTTGTCCATATCTGTGTTTGTACATCTCTTGTAGGTTGTACATCTCTGTGTTTGAACATCTCTGTGTTTGTCCATATCTGTGTGTACATCTCTTGTAGGTTGTACATCTCTGTGTTTGTACATCTCTGTGTTTGTACATCTTTGTTTTTGTACATCTCTGTATTTGTACATCTCTGTTTTGTTATATAATTTCTGTAGGTTGTATATCATCTCCTTGTTTCTATAATATCTGTTTTTCAACTGGCTAAAGAAAAAGCATATTCAGGAACAAATCATTTCGAAGTCAGCTAAATCTCCAGAAAGTGTGGTATTAAGGACATATGTGAGTCAGCTGTATCAGCTGTATGTCCAGAAAGTGCTGTTTAAAAGACAAATGTGAGTCAGCTTTGGGTCCAGAAAGTGCTGTTTTAAGGACATATGTGAGTCAGCTATGGGTCAAGATTGCTGTTTTAAGGACATATGTGAGTCAGCTATGGATCCAGAAAGTGTTGTTTTAAGGACATATGTGAGTCAGCTATTGGTCCACAAAGTGCTGTTTTAAGGATATATGTGAGTCAGCTATGGGTCCAGAAAGTTCTGTTTTAATGACATATGTGAGTCAGCTATTGGTCCACAAAGTGCTGTTTTAAGGACATATGTGAGTCAGCTATGGGTCCAGAAAGTGCTGTTTTAAGGACATATGTGAGTCAGCTATGGGTCTAGAAAGTGCTGTTTTAAGGACATATGTGAGTCAGCTATGGGTCTAGAAAGTGCTGTTTTAAGGACATGTGAGTCAGCTATGGGTCCAGAAAGTGCTGTTTTAAGGACATATGTGAGTCAGCTATGGGTCTAGAAAGTGCTGTTTTAAGGACATATGTGAGTCAGCTATGGGTCCAAAAAGTGCTGTTTTAAGGACATATGTGAGTCAGCTATGGGTCTAGAAAGTGCTGTTTCAAGGACATTTGTGAGTCAGCTGTTGGTCCAGAGAATGCTGTTTTTAGGACATATGTGAGTCAGCTATGGGTCTAGAAAGTGCTGTTTTAAGGACATGTGAGTCAGCTATGGGTCCAGAAAGTGCTGTTTTAAGGACATATGTGAGTCAGCTATGGGTCCAGAAAGTGCTGTTTTAAGGACATATGTGAGTCAGCTATGGGTCTAGAAAGTGCTGTTTTAAGGACATATGTGAGTCAGCTATGGGTCCAGAAAGTGCTGTTTCAAGGACATTTGTGAGTCAGCTGTTGGTCCAGAGAATGCTGTTTTTAGGACATATGTGAGTCAGCTATGGGTCTAGAAAGTGCTGTTTTAAGGACATATGTGTCAGCTATGGGTCCAGAAAGTGCTGTTTTAAGGACATATGTGAGTCAGCTATGGGTCTAGAAAGTGCTGTTTTAAGGACATATGTGAGTCAGCTATGGGTCCAGAAAGTGCTGTTTCAGGGACATATGTGAGTCAGCTGTTGGTCCAGAGAATGCTGTTTCAAGGACATATGTGAGTCAGCTGTGGGTCCAGAAAATGCTGTTTTTAGGCACATCTCTCTGGCCTATGATGATTCCTGTTTAAATTTGCACCTTAGTAAATTTAGTTGAATAGCCCTGACATACACAGTTCCCTATCCTTTTTTTTGTGTGGGTCATTAGATTCTAATGTTGACTTCAATTTGTTGACAGTACCTCCGCTGAAGAAAGAAACATCCTTTGAACACACAGCTGACATATGTTTGCTGTGTAACCGCTACCGGAGGAAAGCGGTGGCCAGGGCAGAGAGATCAGGTAAGTTGCAGATGGGCTCTAATGCCTCTCCATGTTTGTTCTGGGGCCCCATTGGGGGGAAAACAAGAATAGATCCACTGCCTCTCCAGCATGCATGTCATACGAGTCGATTAATTGGGGGCCTCCATCAAAGTTAGAGTAGATCTGCCCGAGAGGCAAGGAACAACCAGCTGCACACAAACTAGCCAGTAAAATGGATGTAAACACTCTGGCACAAAGCCAAAGTACAAATGGACGAACAACCAGGACTTTCCACCGGAGCTTACAGCCGGTGAACAAAGAAGAAGAAGAAGCAGAAACTCTAAAACCCATATTTAGGGCATTCGGACATTGGTATAAGAATTGGTATGAGAGATTGGAACCTCCTCGTGTAGAGATAGCAGGAACACACACATCCACCCTCGTGTGCATGTGCATGCATGCACACATATACATGCATGCATACACACATATACCTGCATGCATGCACACATATACCTGCATGCATACACACATATACATGCATGCACACACACATATACCTGCATGCATACACACATATACCTGCATGCATACACACATATACCTGCATGCACACACACATATACCTGCATGTGTACACACATATACCTGCATGCATACACACATATACCTGCATGCATACACACATATACCTGCATGCACGCACACATCCATAGGCAGACAAATAAACAGAACTTTCCACAGTCAGTAGAAGCAAAGAAGAAGAAGAAAAAGACTTATGTGTATGTTGAGGTCTGTTACAGAAATATCCATTCGCAGTAGAAACTCAAGAGTCACTTGTGATGCAGGAAGATTGTACTGGACAGGGATAAATATTGAGAAGGATACATTTTTGTGAGAGGAAAAAGTTTTCAGCAAGCATTGTCTTATCCCAGTGTGCTCCCATTGTATCTTCTCCTGCAAAGTTTATTTTGACTGAATTGTAGCATTATTAGTGTCTTTCCTTGTGTGTGTGTGTGTGTGTGTGCCTGCATGTGCGCTGATGAAGATTTTCTTGCCTAAATGTCTGTTTGGTGCAGTTGCGCCCCCCCCCCATTTTAAGGACAAACAAAACTGACCCAATGTCCCCCCCCTCCTCCACAAGCAAGTCCTGAAAGTCAGCTAGGGGTGTTTCTTTCTAAGTTGGAGTACATCTGCATGAGAGCAGGGAATCAACAGTCTGCTTACAAATGAGCCAGATCTGTGAAAACAGATCTGTACGCAAATCTTAACTTCCGGAACAAGACCAAAGTCTAGAAGCCGACAAACAACCAGAACTTTCTGCCAGTTTACAGAAGATTGAGATTTTAAAATCAGTAGCAGTCCTGAGGGGACAAACTGATTGACTGACTATATGCCTGATGTGTAACTGGCTTGAAAAGGGTCTTATACTCCCCCCCCCCCCCCCCCCCAACCCCTCCCAACTTTTTTAACTTTAGAACATTTGAGCTTTTGACCTTAACTTACTGCAGATAGCCAACCAGTCAATCAGATGTGTGCAGAGAATGTGATAGACAGTGATGGAGCCTTGTTGAGTGCAACCAAGTCAGATATAAACAGATCTCGGGGAGGCAGTATGAACGAACACTGTTCTTCAGTGACACCAGGCAGCCAGACCAGCATCTCTAGCGGCCAGGACATAGGTGAGTCTGTGAAGGCTCTGTTCTTGCTGCCTCGGTTGACCGGTCGTGGCTTGTAGTTTGTAGGTTGTTGAAAATTTTAAGAAAGATGTTATGAATAAATGAAGAATTGGCATCGCTGCGCTTGGGACATTCCTTATATGCTCTGGGTCTCCTTCCTTGGCAGCCATTGAAGAGCTGTCCTGCTAATAGTACCAGTTTCCCCCTGATTAAAAGTCTACCTATATTCATCCTCCTCAGTGTGGAAATTCGTTCAGAGGGCGCCCCCACTCATTCAGTGTAGAAATTCGTCCAGAGGGCGCCCCCACTCACTCAGTGTAGAAATTCGTCCAGAGGGTGCCCCCACTCCTTCAGTGTAGAAATTTCTCTAGAGGGCGCCCCCACTCATTCAGTGTAGAAATTTGTCCAGAGGGCGCCCCCACTCACTCAGTGTATAAATTTGTCCAGAGAGCGCCTCCACTCACTCAGTGTAGAAATTTGCCCAGAGGGTGCCCCCACTCACTCAGTGTAGAAATTTGTCCAGAGGGCGCCCACACTCACTCAGTGTAGAAATTTGTCCAGAGGGCGCCCCCACTCACTCAGTGTAGAAATTTGTCCAGAGGGTGCCCCCACTCACTCAGTGTAGAAATTCATCCAGAGCTGACTTATTTGAATGTAGATTATTGCAGTACATGAGAGATGCTAGGAAAACTGCAGTCATTAATGATTAACTGTTCCGTTTGAATGCGGACATTGTTGCCATACAGGAAACCTGGGCTACCGTTGTCAGGTAGCATCAGAGAGAGGGATTACACATTCTTTTGGCAGGGAAAAACCGTCTTGGGAGCCCAAATAACAAGGAGTAGGCTTTGCAATTACGAACTGATTGCTTGGAACTGCCACACCAACTACAGGAGATTCAGAAAGGATCCTTACAATTCAGATCCATACAAGAGCAGGACCAGTCACTTTAAGAAGTGCTTTTGCACCAACCTTGCCATCTTCTCCTGACTTCAAAGACAGATTTTATGAGGAACTTAGTTCCGCAGCCAGCGAAGTCCCAGACAAGGATACTTTATTCATTGTAGGAGACTTTAATGCTTCTTATTCTTCTTCTTCTTGTGTTCGCTTTCTGATTTACACCGATAGACAGGTTCTTGTGATAAACTTGACTGTTTTTATGAGTTCATTTTTAGTCCCATACAACTTTGTGTACAGTGATGACTCACTGGGCCAGTATTCCTTTCTTAATGGGCTGAACAAGGGACAGTCTTGCAGGACATGTTCTGTAGTCTGCAAACATAGGGCACAAAGGTGAACTACTTAGACGAAGACTTTAATGCAAGAGTGGGTTCTGAGCCCAGCTCATGGCCATCATGTGTGGGAAAAATGAATGAAAATAGACAGCAGCTGCTTGAACTTTGCTGTCTTCACAACCTGTGTGTCACTCTTTTTTTAATGTGAAATCCCAACACAAGGTCTCTTGGAGACACCCCAGATCTAAGCTCTGGCACCAACATTTTTCCTCTATGTCAGCAGAGATGGTCTGTTCAGGATCCTGTGATAAATATGGATATCCACCTATACTATTTATCTTACCTAATTAAATCCTTCAGTAAGAATATACAGGGAATCATAATATTTGAGGATTCACCATCTCCATCCTTCCAAATTCATAACGGAGTAAAGCAAGGATGCGTTCTGGCTCCCACAACTTCTGGTTGTTTATCTGGACTTGGTGTTCCAGGACTTTCATTGTACAGATCTGGCTTTTTTGGGTGCAAACTGTTGGTTCCTTGCCTCTCAGGCATAAGCACTCCTTAGATTGAAATATGAATCCTGTCTACTGAGGCCGGGCCCTAGGTAGTGAAAACCTGTTTCTTGGATGACCACAAAGAAAATTAGATAAATTTTGACCAGTGTGAGCGCTGGTGTTGGTGCCTCCCCACATGTGGATATGTGTGGTGTTCAGCACCTCTGCAACCCCTCTGTGTTGATAGTCTCAGCTAATTTTTGGCTCCTTGTTGTATTTCAAGGCAATAAAAGACTCACAGAAGACAGTGAAGAGGGGAGGCAGCTGATACGATTGGAAGTGATGCGCCTGATTGTCAATCTTGGCAGTTCTGTGGGACTAAAAGCTTCAGAAACTGCCCTTCTCAGGTACCTTCCTCATTTCTTTGCCTTTTTAAATATTTGTTGTTGAAAGTTATGATTTGTTTCTCATTGCTGTCTGTTATATCTTTGTGGTGCGCATGGGGGCTGTTGGTGAGGATGATGATTCTGTACAGATATCTCAGCTGAGTTTTTGTATATGCCTTGTTTACAAGTGTCACAATGAGTATGATGTTTGATTTGTTTTTAGACTGATGTTTCAATTGTTAAAAGTCTATTGTTTGATTTGTTTATGTCTGGTGTTTCATTTGTTTGTTTGTTTGTTTTAGTATCCAGAAGCCATGAGTTGTTTAAACCTTAGGCTCGGTATTATGGATATCGCAACCTTTCGGCCTTGATTCCATTGTAAATACCATAAATCTGGGAGCAAATGTGGCTTTTCTGCCTACCCCCGGGAGTGAACCCGGACCACAAGGAGTTCGTCACCCGCTCACCGCGCAATCCGGTTTAGCCAACTACGCTAGAGAGCCGGGCTTATTTCATTTGTTAAAAGTCTGGTATATGCCTTTCCCTGTCTGGGCTCCATGGCCTCATTGGGGGGGGGGGGGGGGGGGGTGAATATACCCACTGCCCTGTAATAAGCATGTCATAAAGGCGGCGGCTAATTAGGTGTTTTTTTTTTAAGCCGTAGTGCATCTGCCTGATAGATGGGGAAACAAGCGGTCTGCGTACAAGTGAACTAGATCTGTAACGTAGATGTTCATGCAAAACTCAAGTTCTGAAACAAGACCAACATCCAGAAGTGGCTGACCAGCTAGAACTTTCTGCCAAAGTTTACAACTGCTCAGAACTAAGAAGAAAAAGAGCAGCAAAATGTGTTCCTGTCTTATGTTAATATAATTGTTGCATGTGCCATATTTACAAGTGTTGTGATGTGTCTGGTGTTTGATGTCTTCACCAAGTCGAATGTTTTACTTCCAACAGCCTCAAGCAACGATTCCCCGCCTGTTTCCAAGATGTGTGTTTTTATTCTGAAGTTTGTCATCTACTCTCCTTGTACTCTTATCGTCTGGTGGCTCGCAGGTTTATTCAAGAATTGTTTGATGAGTTAAACATTAATGGGGTAAGTTTTACCTTAAATATTCATGTCTTCAATTGTGTCTTGAACATCATGTACTCTCCTGTGTCTCAAACATTCATGTGGTCACCTGTGTCTCAGACATTCTTATGGTAATTTGTGTCTGAAACATTCATGTCGTCAGTTCTGTCTCAGACATTCTTGTGGTCATTTGTGTCTAAAACATTCATGTGGTCACTTGTCTGAAATATTCATGTGGTCAGTTGTCTGAAATATTCATGTGGTCAGTTGTCTCAAACATGTATGTAGTCAGTTGTCTCAGAAATTCATGTTGTCATTTGTCTTAAACATTCTTGTTGTTAGTTGTGTCTCAGACATTCATGTGGTCATCGGTGTCTCAAACATTTATGTGGTCAGCTGTGTCTCGGAGATTCTTATAGTCAATTGTGTCTGAAACATTAATGTGGTCAGTTGTGTCTCAGAATTCTTGTGGTCATTTGTGTCTGAAACATCATATAGTCACCTGTGACTCAAACATTCATGTGGTCAGTTGTATCTCACACACTTGTGTGGTCAGTTGTCTCAAACATTTATGTGATCAGTTGTGTCTCAGACATCATTTGGTCATCTGTGTCTCAGAATTCTTGTGGTCATTTGTGCCTGAAACATTCATATGGTCAGTTGTCTCAGACATTTGTGTGGTCACTTGTCTCAAACATTCTTGTGGTCATTTGTGTCTTAAACATCATGTATTCTCCTGTGTCACAAACATTCATGTGGTCAGTTGTGTCTCAGTCATTCAAGAGGTCATTTATCTCAAACATTCATGTGGTCAGTTGTGTATCAAACATTCATGTAGTCAGTTGTCTCAAACACTCATGTGGTCAGTTGTGTATCAAACATTCACATGGTGAGTTGTCTCAAACACTCATGTGGTCAGTTGTGTATCAAACATTTATGTGGTCAGTTGTCTCAAACATTCAAGTGGTCAGTTGTGTATCAAACATTCATGTAGTCACTTGTCTCAAACACTCATGTGGTCAGTTGTGTATCAAACACTCATGTGGTCAGTTGTGTATCAAACATTCATGTAGTCTGTTGTCTCAAACACTCATGTGGTCAGTTGTGTATCAAAAACTCATGTGGTCAGTTGTGTGTCAAACATTCATATGGCCAGTAGTCTCAAACACTCATGTGGTCATTCATCTCAAATATTCATGTGGTCACTTGTCTGAAACATTCATGTGGTCAGCGGTGTACCAAACATTCATGTGGTCAGTTGTGTACCAAACATTCATGTGGTTATGTCCCAAACATTTGTGTGGTCACTTGTGTCTCAAACATTCTTGTGGTCAGTGGTGTCTCACGTAATCATGTGGTTAGTTATGTCCAAGACATTCATGCGGTCAGTTGTGTCTGAGACATCCATGTGGTCAGTTGTGTCCAAGACATTCATGTGGTCAGTTGTGTCTGAGACATTAATGTGGTCAGTTGTTCCAAGACATTCATGTGGTCAGTTGTTCCAAGACATTCATGTGGTCAGTTGTATCCGAGACATTCATGTGGTCAGTTGTGTCAGTGACATTCCTGTGGTCAGTTGTGTCCAAGACATTCATGTGGTCAGTTGTGTCTGAGACATCCATGTGGTCATTTGTGTCCAAGACATTCATGTGGTCAGTTGTGTCCAAGACATTCATGTGGTCAGTTGTGTCCGAGACATTCATGTGGTCAGTTGTGTCCGTGACATTCCTGTGGTCAGTTGTGTCCAAAACATGCATGTGGTCAGTTGTGTCCAAGACATTCATGTGGTCAGTTGTGTCCGAGACATTCATGTGGTCAGTTGTGTCAGAGACATTCATGTGGTCAGTTGTGTCTGAGACATTCATGTGGTCAGTTGTGTCCGAGACATTCATGTGGTCAGTTGTGTCCGAGACATTCATGTGGTCAGTTGTGTCCGAGACATGCATGTGGTCAGTTGTGTCCCAAACATATATATTGTGACAGTTGGGTACTGGAACTCCCTGTGTGGGTTCCGGGAGCCCATTTCTTGGGTGAAAAGGACCAACTGCCCGCCCTCGACAAGCAGGTCATTACATGTGACTAATTAAGAGTGTTATCTTCAGAGTCATCTGTATCTGCCCGAGAGACGAGGTACCAACAGTCTGCACACAAGTAAGCCTGATCTGTAAAATGGATGTACAGGCAAAAAACTCAAGTTCTTTAACGAGGCCAGAATGCAGAAATGGATGAGCAGCAGCCAGGACTTCCTGCTGGAGTTTACCGCAGGTGAACGATGAGAAGAAGGAGAAGAACTCGAATGTGTTGTGACAGTATGCTTCTAAAATATGTTGTGACAGGAGAGATGAGCTGGAATATGTTATCATCATATGAGAGATGAAGTGAGCTGTCACATGTTATTTTAGTAAATGCTGCAAACAATTTCAGTAATTTGTCACATGTGATTTCAGTAATTTGTCATATGTCATTTCAGTAACTAATTCATCATATATCATTTCATTAACTTGCTGCCCATGATTTCAGTAAATGTTCATATATTATTATGTTAACTTGTCACTTTTAATTTCAGCAAATTGTCATAAATTATGTCAGTAACTTGTGACATATTTTTCAAATAAACTGTCACATTAACATATCACATTTTAGTATCGTGTGACATATTTTTAAAAATAAATTGTCACATGTTGTCACATTTTTTATCACCTATTATTTCAGTACCGTGTGACTTATTTTTCAAATAAATTGTCACATGTCACATTTTTTGTCACCTGTTATTTCAGTAATGTGTGACATATTTTTTTTTAATTGTCACGCATTGTCAGTTTAACATGTCACATGTTATTTCAGTAACTTTTAACATATTTTTTTTTTCAAATAAATGGTCATGTCTTGTCACATTAACGTGTCAAATGTTATTTCAGTATCATGTGACATATTTTTTCAAATGAATTGTCACATGTTCTCACATTAATTTGTCACCTGTTATTTCAGTAATGTGTGACATATTTTTTAAAATAAATTGTCACATGTTGTCACATTAACGTGTCACATGTTATTTCAGTAACTTGTCTCTTGTGGTTTCAGTTACTGGAGACTCCCTGTGAGCTGCTGGGGATTGACCTGGAGGTTAGCCAACACATGACTCCCATCAGACAGAACAGTCTGGATGAGTTCTCAGATTTCTCAACATCCTGATGTTGGCTTCAAGGTCCTGACCTCACCTGGCAGGTAGAGAGTCAGCAGGGCGTGGAGATACCTGCGTTGACAGCTTGTTACCTTACATTTCTTCGGATGATCATTGTTGCCCGTTGCTCGCTTCACAGCTTGAGAACATTCAGTGACAGTCTCCGCGCATCAGTTCTAAGAGTCATTTTTACTCAGGCATGTTCTCCCAGCTTCAGCCTGTTCTGCTTTATCTGGTGTGGTTACTGTGTTCAGTCTAGGAAAAGATAGACTTGGTTTTTAGAGCACGAGAAGGTTTGCTAAGTGTCTTCTCCAGACGTTCTTCTTGATGTTACCTGCAGGGAGAGATCAGCTGGATATCACTTACAGGAGGGAGATCTTCTAGATGTTTCCTGCAGGGAGAGATTTGCTGGATATCACTTACAGGAGGGAGATCTTCTAGATGTTTCCTGCAGGGAGAGATCAGCTGGATATCACTTACAGGAGGGAGATCTTCTAGATGTTTCCTGCAGGGAGAGATTTGCTGGATATCACTTACAGGAGGGAGATCTTCTAGATGTTTCCTGCAAGGAGAGATCGGCTGGATATCACTTACAGGAGGTAGAGCTTCTAGATGTTTCCTGCAGGGAGAGATCAGCTGGATATCACTTACAGGAGGGAGATCTTCTAGATGTTACCTACAGGAGGAAGGTTTGCTTGTTGTCCCCTATATGAAGAAGATCTAGGTGTCACCTGCAAGAGACTAGATCAGTGTTCTTGAACTTTTTTACTCACACACCCCACCAAAACAGGAGAAACTGTTTCACGGCCCACCTGATTGCTAAACAAGCACAGAATCAAAAGCAAACTTAGATAGCAGCTTATTTGTTAAATCTGAAATCAACAAAAATTACAATTTTCATCTGTTGCGACATCTTTTAATTCTCATCCTTGATGCATCAATCCTACAGACTGCAATCAAAGAAGATAAAAACTACCTACCTCCCACCCCTTACATGGTAAGGCAGAATTTTCTTACAGCCCATTTGCACTTTTGCGCAGCCCGCTAGTGGGCCACGGCCCACCAGTTGAAGAACACTGTACTAATGTCGGCAACAGGAGGGATGTCTGCTTGTTGTCACCTGTATGAGGGAGATATGTTTAATGTCACGGTGGGACTTATCAATTGAGACAAAGGCAACGGATGTAAATAGCTGACCTCAGCCTCTCACCAGCTGACAGATGCAGGGGCAGCCATTCTAGTCAACATCTGTTGGACGTCTGCAGCTATTCTTAACTTTGAGTCCCAGGGGGTTCAGGATCAGTGGCCCAAGGGGTGCTAATGCAATTTTGAAATTTCACAGGAGTAACACATTAAAACCTACTATACTAATTAGACTGCCATGCTACAAACACATATTATACATCGCAGTGACCAGGGATTGCTGAGGAATTATATTAGAATCCTGCTACAACAAATAATTGTGTTAGTAGTTAAATTTCAGTAAATAAACAGACTAGATGTTTGGAGAAATTAATAAAATTGAATAAAAATTTGTCTACTTATCACCGTGGCACTTAAGGAAAACTTTGCTAAAATATATCCAAAATGAACACGAACCACTTAGTTATGTTTTTGGAACATCACAATAGAGCACCATTATTTGGCTGAGAGAACCGACTTCCCAAAATAATTAATATCTTCACACAAAACAAGGTTTATATAACACTGAATTTGCCTGTAATTTTGTTGCTATGTTCCTAAATAATAAGGGGAAAAACACTAGAACTAACTGACACTGAAAAGAATCAACCTTTTTCACTAATATTTACTCTTATTGTACCAGCGGACTTTGCAAATGTTGTCAGCTTTGCGTGAGGTACATACGATTATTAGAACCATCCCACATCAAAGTTCGACTCTATAAATGACTAAATCAAGCCTGCTTTGCAACTTTCTCTGTCTAATTTTGGATAAATTGGATAAATACAGGTTTCATTTAAATGTGAGGCTTCTGAAGCCATAAATCATGTTAGCATAATATGTAGAAGACTGACTGCCCGACAGCCATATTGATTTCAAACACTTAGTAACTAAGTAAACCTCACATACATTATATTTTAGGCTTTTATTATGCATGTTTAAAAATATATCTAATTGTCATCATGCATATTATTGAACACAAAGAACTAGAAAGGAAGTTTCAGTCGCCAGTTCACATTTTTATACTAGTCAGTAGTAAATTACAAACTTGTACTCATCAACTGCCAATTGGGCCGCTGGGTAGTTAACAAAAAAAATGTGTGATGCATTCCTTGGAACTCAGAGGGTTAAGCTGCAATTTTTACAGGTAGCAAATGGACCAAACTGTTAAAGGAACAATTAGTCAAGTGAGTTGTAGCTGTGAGTTGTAGAGTTAAATAAAATAAGCCTGGAAGTAGCTATGGCTGCTACTCATGAACATGTAAAATGTGGAGCTGGTTAATGCAGTCTCGTTAAAAAACTTTAAATTAGTAAGTTTTTTAGAAAATTGTACATCTTAATAGAGCAGCAGAGGTTGCAGTCTGTTTGCACCTCTTTGGAGTTTTAGAAGATTTTTATTTGATCTCTGTGCAGGTTCCGGGGCACCCACTGAGGGGAGAACGAGAACAGACCCTACTTCCCCAACAAGGATGTCGTGATGTCGTAAGAGTCGACTAACTGGGTGTTGACTTTGAGGTCAGAGTGCATCTGCATGAGAGGCAAGGAACCAACAGTCTGCATACAGATAAGCCAGATCTGTTAAACGGATGTGCATGTCACACTCAGGTTTGAGAACAACACCAAAGTCCAGAAGTGGATGAACAACCTGAACTTTCCCCGGAGTTCACAGCTGGTGAACGCAAAGGATAAGAAGCAGAAGAAGATTTCAGTTTGACTAGAGGTGTTCTGCCTAGCAGCCACAATGACATGTCACATGTAACATGTCCCTCCTCCACAACCACTTATCTCCTGTATTCCTGGCACCGGCTCCCAGCTGGTGTAGACAGTTAGGGGGCCCTAATTATAACTTCTTCACTTGTGGAACTGGGTATGTGGGAACTGCCTTGTGGATCTGCCATCCAGATGAAGATTCATGTAGCATATCAGAAGGGACCCCCTGTGTGGGTTCTGGGGCCCCATTTTGGGGAGTAGAGAATAGAGCCTCTGCACCCCTAACAGGCATGTTGTAAGAGATTACTTATCAGAGGTGTTTCCTTCGAAGTCAGGGTGCATCTGCCTGAGAGGCAATGAACCAACAATCTGCTTAAAAATGAGCCAGATCTGTAAAACTGATGTGCATGCAAAACTCAGATTCTGGAACACGACCAAAGTCCAAAAGTGGACGAACAACCAGAGCTTTCTGTTACAGAGTTTATAGCCGGTGAACATGAAGATGATATCAGTGGGGACAGAGTGATCGATAGATCGAACCTGATTTATCTAAATATCCTACGTACTAATTAAAGATTACTTGCTTCTTTGGAAATGTTTGAAATGCTGCCTGATTGGCTTGTTTGTTTATAACTGCATTGGCCAACATCCTACGATACTTATATAAAAGAACAGCCACAGAAATGTCCCCAGTTATGTATTAAACTCGACAGTAGAAGATTTTGATTAAAGACTGAGTGTCATAGCCATCCGTCAGTCAACACTAGTAGAATTCATAACGGCATGCATATAAACAAGACATTTTGTTTTATCTGCACATGAAGATTGTATTTTTTAGACGGTAATGTTACCAAGATGGCGGAGTAAATATTCGCTGATACTGTGGAGTTTTACAAATATTTTTAGCGTGTGATTTTAGCATCAGTCGGTTCACATGAGGGGGAAGTCAAGGACCCTATTCGTGCCAGTGGTTCAGTGGACATGTCATATTAGACTCCTTTTTTATAGAGCAGTTGGCCCTTGATTGATGTAATGGTCAGCATTATGCTAGCGCCTTTACTTCCCAGGACTTTACCTGGTACCTGTTTTAGGGTGGGTCGACCTAGGAGCCAAGATCATTTTTGAAGGAAATCTTACTTGATGGGGAGACTTTTGGGCCAGAGTTGGAGCATCTAACCGCTATGATGCACGCATAAGATGATTTGCGGAAGGAAAACCGTGAGTAGGAGACGAGTACAGAAGGCAGGGCTATACTAGTGGTGGCTTGCGGTCTAAATCTGGCCCGTAGAGGCCTTAGCAAGTGATCTGCGGCTCAGCTGTTTTGTATCAATGATCTTTCTGTGCTTTGGCTTGCACCTCTGGCTGAGACGATCAGCACTTTCAAATAAAGCTCTAGCAAGTGATCTGCGGATCATTACCAGCTGTATCAATGATCTTTCTGTGCTTTGGCTTGCGCCTCTGGCCTGTGGCGATCACCACTTTCAAATGTTAGCCCCTGAGTTTAGTTAGTTGAATAGCCCTGACGTATGGGGAACATATGTAATCATATACAAGATGAAGAGTAGAAAGATAACGATCAGTAGAAAACAGTAACATACAGGATCATATGTAATCATATGCAAGAGGTAGGATGGGAGAATAACCGGAGGCAGAAGACAAAATAATCTCTAAAACAACATTGAAATCTGCCTGTGCTTAGCAAACATATCCATTCTAGAAAGTGTTTTTGTTGGAAGTTTGTTTCATCACAATGACTGTGTGATTGTGTGGGAGCTTGTTTCATTTATAACAGCTGTGTGTTCAAGGGAGCTTGTTTCATACATAACGGCTGTGTGTTCAAGGGAGCTTGTTTCATACATAATGGATGTGCAGTTGTGTGGGAGCTTGTTTCACACAAAAAACAGCTGTAACTGTGTGGAAGCTTGTGTCACTCACATTGACTGTGATTGTGTGGGAGCTTGTTGCACGCAAAATGGCTGTGACGAGTGGGAGCTTGTGTCACCTACAATGGCTGTGATGTGTGGGAGCTTGTGTCACCTACAATGGCTGTGACGTGTGGGAGGTGCTGCTGTTGAGTGGCTTCTAGCCGTGAACAAGATGTTTATGTATATTTAATTGT